AAAATGTGTTACAGGATCTTTAATCTATTTATTTGATTTTATTATAATTTATTTAATTTTTATGAATTTATTCATTATTTATAGTTTTTACTTACTTATTCATTTAGGTAATAAATAGAGGAAATTTTTCAATAAATACATGATTTTTTTCATCAAGTGGTATGAAAATAAATATTTCACAAGTCAGGCTGTAGCCACGAATGAAATATGATAATTTTTATACCACACGATGAAAATAAACCCTGTATTTATAGAAAAAAAATCTTGAATTTTTTGTTTGTTATATAAATTTTTCTCCTTTTTTTTGGAAATTTTAATTTGAAAGACTAATCCTTAAAGTTTGTGTTTTAGCTGAATTTTTTACAAAGTAGTCCGGCAAGACACCAGTGAAAATGTGGAAAAATAAATTTTTACAGTGAAAATTGGAAAAAACAAAATAACGCATTTAATTCATTAATATTTCTCACTATTTCATTTATAAGTATATAATAAATAGAAGATATTCAAGCTTTTTCTATAAATATAGGATTCATTTTCATTGAGTGGTATGAAAATAAATGATTCGTTAGTGGCATTTACTAGTAGCCACAAGTGAAATATGATATTTTTCATACCACAAGATGAAAATGAATCCTGTATTTATAGAAAAAAACTTGAATTTTCTGATTATTTACATTTTTCTATTTTTTTTTTATTTTTTTTTTATTTTTGGACACATTAATGAAAGACTTTCACTTAAATTTTTAATATTGACTGAATTTAGAAGAAAGTCGTCTGGCAAGACACCAGTGAAAATATGGAAAATATGTTTCACTGCAATGAAAAATAAATTTTTACAGTGAAGATATGGAAAAACTGAAAATACGCATATTATTTCATCAATATTTCTCAATATTTCTTCATAAGTATACAATAAATAAATTCATTTATTGACTCGTTTTTTTTCCTTTTTAATACTTATTTTTATTTGATATCATTTACTTACTTATTTACTGAATAATTTCATTTATTTTTATAACATGATTTTTTTTTCATATAGAGTATAAAATTGAAGATTTGATGCATTTAGGAAACAATAACATTTGTTTATGTTAAAGGTGAACTGTCATGAGTTTAAAGTTCATTAGTTGAGAGGTTGATGCTCTTCTTCTTCATAGCATTAACTGTCACAATAACTTGTCTGAACTTACTTACTCATTAATTACACAGTTTTATGGTTTTATAATGTAAATCACATAATTAACAGAAAACATTTTGACCTGAAGATTGTTAAACTTAAATTAATTAACTTTGCATCACTAAATTTTATTTAATGAATTGTCACTAATATAACACAAGATATTTCTATCAGTTGAAGTATATTCACGGTTCAAGATTTGTGTGTATTTAGGGAGAAAATTTATAGGTTTATAATAATAAATGTTATTATTTGTATGAAAAGTAATCTTTTGCTTACTATTAGCCAAATAGGCTACAGAATTAGACCAATAGATCTTTCATTATTGATTTTATTTTATTTCCATTTAAAATATTTAGCCCAGTGGTGGTTTAATATTGCATGCAGTATTGAGGTAATTTCAAATGCCTGATGCATTGACATACCATAAAGAGAACTTAAAACTGTCATATTAATTAAACTGTCATATTATTACAATCAATGTAAAGCTCATATACCAAAACAAATGCATTAAAATAAACTGAATAACAAAATAAACTCATCTTACAAGAAACATAAATGAGCCGCGTCATGACAAAACCAACATAATGGGTTTGCAACCAGCATGGATCCAGACCAGCCTGCGCATCTGCGCAGTCTGATCAGGATCCATGCTGTTCGCTTACAAACCCTATAGCTAGTAGAGAAACTGATAGTGAACAGCATGGATCCTGATCAGACTGCTCAGATGTGCAAGCTGGTCTGGATCCATGCTGGTCACAAACCCATTATGTTGGTTTTGTCGTGACGCGGCTCAAATTAATATAGTAATTGAATCATTCAAGTTGAAACTGACAGTTCTCGTGAGTAATGTACATGGTTAAGTTCATGTTTATATTCAAATTTACAATACATACATGTATATGTCATGTGCCATTCTCCATCCATTTACCATTTTAATTAATGCCTGTAAAGATCATATATAAGAGACTGGTAGTTTCATAAAGAAATTTTCTAATGTAGTGGTTCAAAATTTAAAAACACTTTGTTAGTACAATGTACATGACAAGTAGTAGTAAATGTCTTAAGGTTTAATACAGTTTAAGGAGAGCTGTGGCCTAGTGGTTAAGGTAGCTGCCCCTTTACCATGGAATCATAGGTTCAAGCAGTATATATACTTTGGTCACAACCATTTTCACAGGAAGCAGTTTCGAGAGAGATTCCACTTAGATTTAAGCTAAACTAAATATGTTAAAAATAATGAAAAAAAAACAAATGATGATGAACTGACTTTAAAATACAGCATAACAGACAAAAAAGAAAAAATATATATATAATATTATATTATCTGCTGTATCATATCTTATATTTCATATACAGCATGAAGAGAGGTCGTATTGTCAGTATAAGTCATGAAATACCAGAGGATAGTCCATTCAAGACATACAGGGATCTGAAAAGACACTGGAAGAATACTGTAATTATTCAATACAGTTATAATATTGCTATAGAAATTTCATTAAGAAAGCAGCTTTTTAATTTCTTTTCAGTATGTTTTTAACATTGGTTATAGTTTTGTTTTTACATTTTATATATTGTTTTAACTTTATATGATATACATTTGTGTCCCGTCTATGCCAGTAACCCATTTTATTTATTTTTTTAAATAACATGAATAATGAAGGAGACATCATATTGAAAAAAGTCTTGGAGAAACATATTTTTTTAAATGCAATGTGTAAAGCAGCATTGTAAATTAGAAACACTCTGAAGTCTGGTGAGACATTTCAGTATTTTTAATAGCAGAGAATTCATCTCATGACACCTATTTTTGTAGTCTATTTAACCTCCTATCTGAGGTTTACTGTTTCTGCTCTTTATTTTCAATATTCAGAAAAATAAAAACAAGTATGAGGCAATAGCCAAGATATACATTAACAAAATCAATGTCAGGGACTTAATAAATAAAAAAATGCCTTTTATATATTGAGATAATGTGAAAATTCAAAGATTTTCCTAATTCTAGGCTTAAAGATGGCACTTCTAAATAAACAAAACAATCTTATAAGTATTTAAAATTAAAGGGAGACTATTCATCTGATCTTGAAATACATCTTTGAACCAAAACATGGTTGTGTCTAATGAGTTGTTTACCATTTAAGACAGTATAAATTGTATTATTATATTTAGTTCAAATGAATCAAGATAACTGCATAGGATAAAGGTTAACTTTAAATGTGACCAAGTTTTCAATTTGTCTCCTGCTGCTTTTTTGTTCTTCTATAAATCAGATTATGGCAAGCACATTGAAAACTCGCTCCTTTTGATCTAATTGAATTTTAATGTTGCAATGATAAAATTATTCATAATATAAATACACTGTAGACAAACTATTCTACATACTATTAGCATGTGTCATAATCTACCAGTAAATCCATATGGTGTCCAACATTTGTAAATAGGTAATAAAAAGTTGGAAATCTTTTTGAATTATTTTAAAATGGAAACATTGCCACATAATGATATAAAACACATGATTTAAAATATCTAGCCTTTGCAAAATTTTACTTTTCTACATATTAAATATTTCCATCTAAATTGATCATTTTAGATAATTAAAGAGTCTCTTTTCACTTTGTTTATTTCTAGTATGGGTACAGACTTCCAGAGAGTGAAGATGATATTAACTTTTACCAAATCAGATTTGGTCCTCAAGGTGGAAAACTGTTTACATATCCTTTCTGTTTCAATATGTGTAAAAGTAAAACTTAGTACATACTTAAATAGAGTCTAGCTTTTATTTGTTTGTAAGTTAATTATATCATTTCATGCTAGTTTGACCATATATAATTGTTTCCTAACAGATGTGAAGCAGCAAGAGTTGAGTAAACTGGATGAGGTTTTACAGTCCAAATCTGGTTGGTTAATTACATTGGGACTTTCAAGTTAATCTTAAACAAAATTGCATGTAGTTATTTTTACTTTAAACATATGACTTTGTATATACATTCTTTCTTACCCATTCTCAATGAGTTTTATCACACGAAAAGTTGAACAAAAGACATTTGTGAATACATTTCCTTAACTTTGAGAACATACCCTGAAGTTTGTCTAAGAGGAAGAGAGTTGCAGAAAGTGGCAAGAGTAGACCCAAAGCCAATCCTGAGATCATTTATGTTAGAAATACAGAGTAAATTTCCAACTGTGTGTGGTTGCCCAATCAAACTTCAGTCAAAAGCCAAGTTTACTGTGACGGATCTTCTTCCCAGTGGCCAGGTTTCATAGTACTTTCCAAATTAAAAAAAATATAGATTAATAATTAAAGATGTAGAAATTTATTTATATGTGTTGAAAATTAAAAAGCTTGTAAGTTTGCAAGCTTAAACATATCAAGTTCATTTTACTAAATTAATTCAAATCAAAAAAAGAAATTGAGGTACGTTATCCGTCTTATTAGAGACTGGCATTCAAAGTAGATTAACAAAGGTTGAAATGATATTCTTTGTGTTAAGCAAAGATTCCCCAGAAATGGAAATGCTTTCATTTTCATTTTTCAAAATATTTTATTTTTGGTGAACTACTATGTACAGTTTACGAAAAGTTAACTCATTGGACAGTTCACATGGACCAGCTTTTGCTTCTGTTGCTTTTTAGCTCGACTATTCGATAAGAATAAGTAGAGCTATTGTTGTCACCCGAGCGTCGGCGTCGGCGTTGGTGTCCGCGTCGGCGTAACCACTTATGTTAAAGTTTTTGTAATAGTTCAAATATTTTCAAAGTCCATTGACATATGGCTTTGAAACTTGGCACACTTGTTCACCATCATGACCCCAACCTGTAGACAGGAGGAGGTAACTGTATCAAGCATTTTGACAGAATTATGCCCCTTTTTCGACTTAGAATTTACGTTAAAGTTTTTGTAATAGTTCAAATATTTTCAAAGTCCATTGACATATGGCTTTGAAACTTTGCACACTTGTTCACCATCATGACCCCGACCTGTAAACAGGAGGAGGTAACTGTATCAAGCATTTTGACAGAATTATGCCCCTTTTTCGACTTAGAATTTACGTTAAAGTTTTTGTAATAGTTCAAATATTTTCAAAGTCCATTGACATATGGCTTTGAAACTTTGCACACTTGTTCACCATCATGACCCTAACCTGTAGACAGGAGGAGGTAACTGTATCAAGAATTTTGACAGAATTATGCCCCTTTTTCGACTTAGAATTTACGTTAAAGTTTTTGTAATAGTTCAAATATTTTCAAAGTCCATTGACATATGGCTTTGAACCTTTGCATACTTGTTCACCATCATGACCCCAACCTGTAGACAGGAGGAGGTAACTGTATCAAGAATTTTGACAGAATTATGCCCCTTTTTCGACTTAGAATTTACGTTATAGTTTTTGTAATAGTTCAAATATTTTCAAAGTCCATTGACATATGGCTTTGAAACTTTGCACACTTGTTCACCATCATGACCCCGACCTGTAAACAGGAGGAGGTAACTGTATCAAGCATTTTGACAGAATTATGCCCCTTTTTCGACTTAGAATTTACGTTAAAGTTTTTGTAATAGTTCAAATATTTTCAAAGTCCATTGACATATGGCTTTGAAACTTTGCACACTTGTTCACCATCATTACCCCAACCTGTAAACAGGAGGAGGTAATTGTATCAAGCAATTTTTTTTTACTATCAAGCACTAAGAATAGTCGAGCGTTGCTGTCCTACCGACAGCTCTTGTTGGCTATTAGTGAAAAGATATAGAATTAGTTTTTTGTATGGATGTCAAAATACCACCATGCTTACATTTTGCTACTTTTATGACAGATAATTTTAGATGCACAATTTTCTTCAGGTCATAGGCTTCTATAATGTTCTTAAACCGTTATTTAAACATTATAAAACAAGATTACCCTGTAACAAATTCTAAAGATTGAAAAAAAATCGTTTCTGAGGCTAAGATAATATAAAGTCAGAGACAATGTTAAATATCGTGTACATTACGTGTTATATGACTTTAAACCGTTCTTATTTTGAACATGTGATAAATAGAAAAATACATTCGTGTAGATTCAATTCTTTTATTGAACTCGTCGAATAAAACAATATTAGGCTTGTCAGAGTCTCGCATATTATGATATTATTCAACTTGTTCAATAATTTTAGTATTAAATGGTAAAATTTACACTCATTCATTATCCTCTATGTAATACCCCATGTTCCCAGTAAATATTGATTTAATATTTAATTCTATTCTAGAATACAATAAAAGATCATCCAAACTTAACAAATAAGATGAGTTCTTCTCGACCTACTGTGTATAGAACAAAAGATGAGATGGTGAAAATGATGGCATCGTCAAACAACACATCTATTCCCAACCCTACGAACTGTTCACAGAGCTTAAATGGACGGAAAGAAACAGTTTCAGTCATATCCACCAAGAATATATCTCAGGAATTTTCTGACCGTTCAAAGACATTGGATAAAAGTGTTACTCCTAACAATCAGGAACGTATCAGTAATCAGTCTTTTAGATGCATTGCAAATAGTAAAGAAGAAGCACAATTCAGTCGAAATATTTTATCTGAAAATATCAGACCAATTACAAAAGAACATCCTGATTCAGATAAGAGCAGTATTAATAGTAACAATGAGATGTCAGCAATTTCTGTGGCTTTGCAATCAGGTAGTCAAAATAAGGAAAGATTTATCAGAACCCCAGAAAATGCTTCAAAAGTTGGAATAAACAGCTCTGTGCATTTATCAGCATACACTCCAACAACAAGTTCTAGTCTAATGAATAAGCAAGAAACGGGTTCACACAAATTGATTCCACAATTCAAACCCAAAAAACTTTTGCCATTAATTGAATCTGCTAAACCAGTGGTTGCACAGAAAATTGTACCAGTGTTTCATCCGCAGAAGAAATCATCAACAGGCTGTATTTCTCAACAGAAATCTAAATCTACTGTTAACAAAGCATTTATTTCACACACTCCAAGTAGACCTTCTGTTCAAGGCCATCTAACGTCTGTTGAAAGGCAAGGACTTCCTTTAAATACACCCGTTTCAACACCAATGTCCTCTTCCGTAAATAATGCTTCAGCACTCACTCCACTCAACAGACCAACATTCAGTAAGACAGTTCCACTCTTTAAGAAATCTGTTACTGCAAGTACGGGTTGTGTACCTTCAAATTCGGGAAAGGCTACAACTGGAAAGGATGGGAAATTGCAAAAAGAAAAAAAGGCTACCAAGAGACCAAAAGCAACGAAGGTATATCTTTTTTGTATTAATGTAAATGAATAGCAATATTTTGAAAACATCTAACTGTTTTAAAGCACTTTTACTCACATACATTTAAACCATTTTCTTTAGAATTATGCATATGTTGGTTATTATACATTTATGACTATAACCATTCTATACTTCACCTTGTTTTGTTATTGCAATTGACCGAAATGATTTTATTATTACCTGTAATGAAATGTTGTTTAATTATAAATGCATATATTCAGTTTTACAGCAATTCAACGTGACTCTTTTCTCCTTTTAAGTCTAGTTCTGATTATATTCATAAAACGAAGAAATTTATCAGCAAATCTTTATAAAGTTAGTGCCCTTTGTGATTAATTGTAAATTGTTTATATGAAATGTTTACACAAGCGTTGGATATTTTATTTACTTAACAACGTACCGTTAGCGGAAAAAATAACGTCATTGAACTAGTTTTTTTATTCAAGTACGCGCGTAAATATTTTTTATGTTTTTGGAAATGTTTATAGGTCGTAAACCTTCATGTTTACCGTTTAAAACAGCGTATATTATAAGGCCAAAGGGGAGTGTTGTTGTGTTTTTCTTTTATTTTTATAGATTTTTTTATTTTCATTTCCAGAAAGACGGTCAAAATGAATCCCGGAAGGCCAAGAAACTAAAGAAAGCTGAGGCATGATGTTAAGGACTTAATACAATAAACAACATAGATTGTGTGTACTTACGAGATTATTTGTTTATTAAAGTAGACTTCATTTGTAGGTTTTTAAGTGCGGTGATATTTCGTATCACATTAATTGTGTAATTTCTAACCCTTGTTATAGTTGACTCGTTCGTTTATCATTCTTCTTACAAGACAGGTGTTGCGAAAAATGTATTGTTTGTACATCTACGACAGAAAAACAAAGTAAAAAACAAAATGAAAATAATGTATCATCTGACACCTTCCATAAGTGACATTTGATCATAGATTGGTGAATGTATACAAGGCTGTAAAATGCTAGACTATAAATTTGCCTGAATTTAAACACCTTTAAACATGTATCTCTTATATCGAATAAACATATTTCAATAAATCAAATTAAAATGTTATACCTTTTTACGTTGTATGTGTTGGTTTTCTGTTTTAAGTCTACACTACTACTTTAGAGGTTAGAGTTTCTAGAAATCTAATTTTAAATATTTACTTAAATATGCACATTAAAAAAAAATATTGCTATTCCTCATACAAAGTTGCGATGATTAATTCTTCCATGTGAGGATCTAACCAGCAGTCCTTTGGTCTTTTGGAAGGTCGGAATATCTGTTCGGGTATACGCTTGTTAGACTTCCGCCACCGGTAAAGCTAGCACGTTACCGTAAGATCTTGAGTGTCAATGCGACCTTAAATCCACCAAAAGAAACAATTAAATCGTAATCCGGTATAATTATTCATTAGGGATTAAACGATGATCGAGTATAATCGATAATTGATCGTTTATAGGACCGATTAGCGATGATCGAATACAAAGTTCAATAATCGATCATCGGTTATTTATCTTCTTACTGTTACTTAAGTGACTCACTGTATTATAACAACACTTTAAATTAAAGCCAGCTTTGATTTACCCAATAATTTTCATTCAAATGAATATGAAAGCATACTAGTGACCATTAGGTTAATAGTTGACAGTGAGGCATTCTAGTATACAGACATACTATGCTCAAATTCGAAATTAGAAAATTGCTACACAGTCTTTTTGTAAATATGAAATAAACATGTTTTGACTTCAAACAAAGAAGATATGTATAAAATTATTCTACACACTACTGTAAACTAAAAATGGCAACAATATACATATATAGTGTCATTAAAAAGCCTGGCATTTTTATTAATGACCAACTTCTCTTGTTCCCAAACATAGCTTATTCATTCCTGTATTGGAATTGAGACATAATAATTTCATAGATATAATGAATTTATTTGATAAAAATATTTTACTCAAGGATGAACATAAGCATGAGTATCTAGTTTATTTCAGTTGATTAATTTAAGTGGTAGTTACACAAAATATAGAATATTAATGGAATTCTTATAAATATTAAAGCAAGATATGTGCATTGTACATATTTACTTTGTTATCATAAATGTTTCGATTATATAATCGATGATTGATCGAAAAAGGTTGTTCGATTATTGTCGATGATCGATTATGATTTTTGTCCGATTAAGAAACCCTATTATTCATTGCAAAATTGATAATATGGTAATATTTTGATTTTTTGGATGTAAATTCAAACTGCTAGTCATATTATTCATCAAACGGGAAGAATACAATTAAAAGGTGGAAAAATACACCAACCAAACACTTCTAAAAGTGCAGATCGATAACGTCGTAACGTTTGTGTTTATATTTATATGTTTGAAAGAAAGCATTTCAGCAAGATAATAAGTAATTTAATCGTTGAGAGATATAGGGCACACAATTTAACATTTGCGATTGTTTTAAGTAATAACGATATGACGTATTAGATTATTATACCATAATATTTTAAGACATGATTAATACCATCAAGTTACTCTTCAAAATATCTTAAAAACTCTTCTTCTCGGACTGTTTTATCGAAAGAATGAAGTATTGCATGATTTTTAAAACAACTTCAAAAGTTTTAAATCTGCAGTACTATAATAAATAAAAAAAGTTCAACAAACCTTATTATAAAAAAAGTGCTAAACTTAAAAATAATTGTTTTCATCAACAACAGAAATTTACTCGTATGGGAATGAGGGTTGTTTTAATTCATTTTTGTATAAGAAGAGAGTGAACACACTTCCCTTTTACATCATCTGCAAGAAAACGTTTGTATCTGTCATTGTACTCGCGTTGTTTTTCATTCATCATTTAAAACTTGATAATAATTCGCGGTTCAGATATTTACTCCAGTAATTTGCAGAATTAGATAAACAATGGGGAAAATACTGGATTATTATTATCGTAGTTAGATTCATCGTAAAAATGAATATAAAAGGATCACCTGTTACAGTGCGAATAAACGTTTACTTAGTGGTTGAAAGTGTATTATAGCCCATGAAATTGTCCCAATATTCAAATTCTTTAATGAATTTAGTCGAAGATTGAAAATTGCCAATGCTGTTGCTTGAGGGACCAGTGCAATGTTGCACCAATTCTTGTATCCTATAAATACACCATTTCTTCTTTCCTTCTTCTTACTAACTCCATATTATTATATCATCATCATTCTTAAAAAGAAAGTGCCAAATTTATTTAATACATTTGGCAATTAGGGTAAAAGAACATCACAGTTTGACTGTTTACTGCCTTATTTTTGGTGGCTTTCCATAATATATATAAAGTATATTAAACAAACATAAGTATATAAAACTTTAAACACAGCAGGGTTAAATGTTAACGTTTAGCAAATATTACATGAAATCAACCGAGAAGAAAGACGGTTTATTTTTTAGCTTGACTTTTGACAACAGCTAGACTGATATATGTTATTGTTAACCACTTCTACAAAAAATAATACAATTAACGGAAAATGATGACGTCATTACCCTAAACCTTGCTCAATTGAATTATGTGTAAAAATTCTGTTTTAAATAAAAAAAATGGCAACATTTTAGATATTTTGAATGTGGCCCTTTTAAAGCCCTGGTGTTAAATTGGTTCTGCGACGGGGCGTTATGGGTTAGATCCCTATACAATTGAATTACAATTGGAAAAAAAAATCTACTACACAAATACTTTGCCTAGAGCTAAGATATTTGGCATAAAACATTGTGAATTCATTTACTAAGATTGTTCAAAATATAGCAATGGGTTCAAAATTGGTCCCAGTCAGCAGAGGTGATGTCATGGGTTTTCCTAATCAGTATATAGGAAAACTTATAAAATCTTTGATTTAGAAAATGCAAGAGCTTAAACATTTAGCATGAAATATTGTCTAGTGGACAGCTACATAAGTTTCTTTTTTAAATCATGGCCTTGAGGTCGTATTTAACACTTTCATAAATTATCATACTATGACCTTTGTATTAAAACATTATATAGATACATCTGCACATTGTCTTGCACTTTACATGCTAAAGTATGACATCGACAACCAAATTGGCTAAACACTACTGCATTATCGCAAACACCATTTGAAAAGAAACCAAAATATAACCTACTTCAGTTAATACTTTTGAGTATTGTCTTATTTATTTTTTAATCTATTTATTTATTTGTGTTTTTGTCATATATGGATGAATTTAAAAATACCTAGGCATACATTTCAGGCCCATTTAGATAACTTGAAACACGTAAACGTCAGGTGGATAGCTAGAAATGTCAAGGTTACTTTTGGATTTCAAAATAATATATGCATTGGATGATTCTGTCTGGTCATATGTCTGTTATTCAATCGTGAATGCTTTCATAATAAATGGGCATTCTGAGAATACTGGAACATGCTTGCAAATATTTATTTACTTTTTTTACATTATTTTTATGGTTCATCATGCGTTTCTAAGATGAAAGTCATCGGTTATCTAATGAGCTTAGCTCCTGGGGCAACTTTTATCTGTTTCCACCAAAAAGTGTTTGTTTAATTTAAAAGGACGGATCAAGGTAAACAAAATCTGAACACAATACTGCTAGGAATTGCAGTGAGTCAACTTATTTTGTAAATAGCATTATGTAAATATTAACAAGTACAGGCTGTCAAGTATAACGTTTTCCCCTATACTTTCAAATTTATGCTTATATATATATTGCTGAACCCTTCATATGTTTTCATGTTTTTCATTATTCCTGTTAGTCTACGTAAAATTACAACGCATGTTCTTCCAAGTAATAACTAAACGGGCCCGCGTGTATTTTTCCTTAAATACTGCATGCGTACGCAATTCCCTACATAAATCTTATCAAAGTTCATAAAATTTTATGACTACATTTACTGTCATCTATCAAAGACAAAAGAATACGCAAAGCTAGTAAAGTTTACTTGTAACGACGAAAGTGTACAGCATAGTAGTATATTGTTTATATTTTAAACGCATGAGTGCACTGTGTATGACGTAAACGTTAACAAAAGAGAAATTAAAAAGATAAACATTTCTATGAAAGCGTCCAACCACAATGGTTCCGATCAAACTTATGTTAACAGGATTTAAAAGACCTATAAAAGAGGACTCGTCGATTTACAATATCATATCAAGATTACACTTAGCAACAAGTATTTCATTGCAAAAAAGAGAACATGCTTAGAAGAAACATGGCAACAAATATGATATTAGCGATTGTTTTGACCGTATTTGTTTCAGCAACCAAAGGTAAGACATTTGTAACAGTAATTTATTAATCATAACTGAAAAACAACATCAAATAACTAAAAATAAACAACATGTATTTTCTTCACAACTTTATAAAAGGATTAGAAGTTATCATTTAAACAGAAAATTAACTTAATATGCACTATTGTATAATTGTTTTAATTTACAAAGATTGGACATTGTTTTTTGTCACGCATTGAATATACTTTTTTTGGAACTAACTGTTCGAATTAGCTCGTATGTAAGCATTTCTTTTCTTCTTTCTGTTGAAGAATCGAGAATACAAATTATCTCCGTAATAATCTACATAACAACTCATTGCGTATCTGTTGCAAATAAATTGATTTTGCTTTACGAGTTTTCTTCATTTTATTCATCATTCAGAATTTGATTTCAAAGTTTAGATACTAAAATTGCTGAGTCGGTAAAACGATTAGATGAAACTTACTTTTTCAATGTATTTACATGGAATGAAATTTTAAGTAAAATATAAATGATGTTATAAATGAATAAATATAAACGTTAATTTAAACGTGAATGTAAATTTAATTTAATTTTCATTTAATTCTTGCATTTAAATTTTAGCTGGCACTGGTTATATCGGTTGTTTCCAAGACAATTCGACAAGGATTTTAGAAGGTACAATGACTTCAGGCAGTATGACTGTCGAGAAATGTGTACAAAGATGTAGCATGGAAAGAAAGTTGTTCGCGGGTGTTGAGGTAAATATTTTTATCTGTTTTTGACAAGGTAACCTCTTTAATATACAGAATGATAAAAACTGAATCAAAAATATACCATTTACATTCATTTATTCAGTTCTTGGTTGCCGTTGCTCATTTATAAGAAAAATTTAAATGTCTATGATACATTTTGGAACAATATTTCTTGTAAAATAGTCATATTTTATCCCATTTAACTCTGGTTTCTATGTAAAATTCTAAAATGTGGAATTTCTTTCGTCACATACAGTTTTCCAAATTATTATCAGCATTGGTAACGCTTACTTGTAAGACAAGATACTCTTGGCACGTACAGTAACTTGTGCATTTTTAGATGAGAGTCAAAACAAAAATAAAGCCAGTTGAAACATTTCAATTTAATATCATCTAAAATTTCAGTACAGCAACCAATGTTTTTGTGGTTCACAATTAAGACCATATGCAAAACGTCCTGATTCAGAATGTAGTTTTAATTGTGGAGGAAATTCTGGCCAGAAATGCGGTGGATTTTGGAGAATTTCGCTATATAACACGCACAGTAAGTAATTATATTTCTTTTTATAAATTCTGAGAAACAACTCGTATGAAAAATAATGAATAAAATTTACACCTAAAACTTTTGTTATACAAAAAATAATAACGAGGCACAGAAAATAAAGACTAGCACTTTAACATAACCTTGTTATTGAATAAACATTGAACATTTTTCATGCGAGTTAAAGATATACGAGGTCGTGAAGACTTCTTCACATTTATATATTGTAAGACTGAAATTTAAAATTTTTCATTAACAGGATATATGGGCTGTTATGTAGACTCTAAATCCAGAATCCTTAGTGAAAAAAATACAAGCAACAACAAGATGACGACGGAACTTTGTCTTGCATTCTGCAAAGGTCATGGACTAAAATATGCACTAACTCAGGTTTGTTATCAATGCATTAACTATTATCGGTATCGTAAACACAAACTCCTTTTAAGTTTTGCAAATAGAGGAACACAAATTGCTATTGGTAATATATATGTTTTAACGTTTAAACGTTTATAGAATAATGTTCTAGAATTCTTTATTTTATGGAAATGTATAACCCTCTGTTTTGATATTTATTAAAAATAACTATGACTGACAGTGTAATGTGTTGCTTTATTGTAAATTATATGAATTAATTCATTAATTCCTTTTTATATATCATGAAAATTCCGGGTTATTTTTTCTATGTGCAGTACTTTTAGTAATGTTTCGCTTTTTTTCTTTTGCAGTATTCTTCGCAGTGTTTCTGTGGAAACAGTTTAGGGAATGTACAGAAAGCACCCGACAGCGAATGTAGCTATGATTGCCAAGGTGCTAAAAGTGAGAAATGTGGAGGGTTTTGGAGAGGGTCATTATACCTTGTTGTTTAAATGGTAAGTTTAATGTTGATATGCTTAGGTTTGAGAATAGGTTTCAAGTCTACTTGTCTTCTAAATTAGCTATAAGCAATTCAGTCGCTACTTTCTTATGCACAATGATAGTTCAATCATACAATATTTAAATATCGTATTTTAACAAATATATTTATCGGCTGTTATATAATTGCAAAGAAAGTTAAGATCAAACCCGTGCGTTCGATGGGAGTATGTTTGATGTTAGAAATTTAAAAGATTGCACAACACTTAAATTTTAATTCTGAAGCCTAAATAACCCTTGCAACACCATGTAATAAAGAATGTTTCTCTTTTCAGTGCACCCATACGAGAAGGAAATCTGCGGTTGGATATTATGCCTATTGACTTTCATTTCTATTACTTTTATGTACAACATATTTGTTTGTAAATAAATAAAATGTCTTACAAAAAGAAATTGAATTTCTTGTCCATTATTTCTTCTTTAATGTTATTTTTCAGTGGAGATATTTCATTACAGTGGCTCCAAATTTAATATAATATTTCTATATATACCAAAGGACATTGAATGATACATATACATGTACAAAAAGTGACCATAATTTAAACATATATTCCTATAATAGTTCCTCTTACCTTATTATATAGACAATTTGCACAGATAATGAAAATTAAAAATACATTTCTTGTAATAAAAGAAACCAATGTTTAAAATATATACATTATAGCATTACAGCGCGTAACAGCGATACATGTTTTAAACGCCATCTTTCTGTAACATAATTTATCGATTTTACTACCTCCTTTTGTATACCCTTTTTAACTTAATTATTCTATTAACGTTACATTAAGTGTTATGATATTCAAAACTGTTAAAAAAATATTCACCAATATCAGCTATATAATGTATTGATGTATTTTAGGCATTATCCGAGATTAATTGCTATTTTTTTTACCGTGGAATGAAGTGTGATAAGGCAGTCTAAGTTAAGATGATTACAATTCTAAAACTGTTGTTAACAACCATCATGAGGCACTTGAATTTTAGAAGAAAAAATTAATATATAACCCAGATGTTATGAATGTCTATACGTCATATTGCGCCGTATTACAATTATTGTTGATACAAATTCGTGACATTTGGTCAGCGAATATCTAAATACGATTCCCTTCTAGAAAAGAAGAAATATTACTTAATTTTTTACTCTTTAATGTCGTATTAAACTTGAAATTCATCAGTGTCCATTAAAGATCTTGTATGTTTGTATTTAAGGATGTAGCATCACATAAGTAAAATTTTATATATGTATATCATTATTTTTCTAAAACAATTTCCAAACATCCAAAAATATGTTAAATTTATACTGCAAATATTTATACGCGTTATAAGTAATCTTTAAAATACATGCATTCATTTTTTACTGAAAAATTTGGATATGACTTTATCGGAAATAATTTTTAATTACCTCCCTATATTGACATGAAATGTAAATTCGGTAATATCTTTACAAATAATGCATTTTTGTTGAACTTACAATATTGATAAATCTTCAGTTGAGTATCATATTTATTATATAAAACCATAAAAAATGAGTTACGTGATCTTTTAATTCAATAAATCAAAATGCCGCTCAGGAAATATAATTATAAAGCAGATGGCAATATACCATCCAAAAGTGCTAGATAAACTGATTCTCTCCACGATGTTGGGAATGTCCTGTGATGTCAATGCTCCTTTAGCTTTTATTGTACTTTTTGGATGATTGCAAAATATCAATTGTAAAGCTTCATTGTTGAAAACAGTTATAGCAAATTATTTTGAAGTGAAGGCTGTTTAAAAGATCATCGTATCTAAATAGTTGTTTAAATGAGGTCAGATTGAAGAAGAACCAACTCTGCTAAATAAACAAATAGTTATATAACCCACCTAATTCAATCAATTGTGACCTCATAAACTTTTAGCCACGTGTAATGGACAGTCTTAGAATATCACAGACTATGAAAAGTGAAAATCGTAACATTTCTTTGTTCATTGCATTTATAAAAATACACACATTTCAAAGATTTGTTGAAAGTAATTATATTGTTTAATCGTGCTTTGATGCGACAAGCCACATATGTCATATAAGTAGATTTTCAGAATATTTTTACAAGGCTACGTCAATAAAAATATTCCAACACCTACCACAGGTTTATCAAATAATTACCACTGACATATGGCTATATCAAAATCAATTAAACAATAAATAATAATGTTGTGTTTGTTGTCGTTTGTTTGTGGTTTTTTTCAAGATATAGAAAAAAACTACATTTATTATGTACATGTGTTCATATTTTATATATGATTTTTTCTTATCCATGTATCACAAGCACTGATCCGACCAGAAAGAAACTAAATCTATAACTATCCAGTTAGATCAATCAGGTTTTGGTAAAATTTATAATTTACACAACAAGATTAATAATTGAAAGGTTATTAAAACAGTATTTAGTATTACTTGCACTTGTTTTTCAGGCGTCGGAATCGGCGTCACACTTTTTGCGTGCAAGTTTCTATCACAAAAACAACTGAAAAGAATTAGTTGAAATAGCACACAATCATTAAGAGCATAATACTATTGAACGCCCATAGCTCTTACGGACAAGCTTTTGACAGAATTCTGGCATTTATACCAATTTTTGTACATTATTAATACTTTTGTTTCACTATCACGCGCTAAGGTCGATTGTCACTGATTTTCAACTTCTGACAAACACATTGAAAACAATAAAAATGCAAACACGTAACACGTAAAAATACATTTCAAATAAATGTCAATAATCTCAAATGAAAATCTGGAAACAAAGTGATTTCTCGGAATGGTATAATCCAACGGAGCATTTTCGTTACTAATATAAGAAAATAAAAAAAAATAATTTCAAAGAGTTTATATGTTTTGAGTTCCTCTTTCTTTCGTAATTTCAATAAACATTACAATAAAATATGGAAACAAAGTGATCCCTCTGAAGCATTAATCACAACAACATTATATGAAAATTGCAAACTCGGTTTGATTGAGTCTGTACATGAGCGATAATGAATAAGTGCAACATCTAACACGCCCTCTAGTACCGGCTTTAGAAGTACTTAATTCTCAACACTTAATAGTGCTGGCAACAATGATCACGAATGACCAGAAAAATATAACTAAACTGTTGTGAAGTACGGGACAACTTTTTTCAGCTGCCATACGACACTTGACACCTACTGTTGTGAAGTATAAAAATCTGGAAGCATAATTCACAACAAAATTACATGAAAATTACAGACTCGGTTTGATTAAGTCTGTATATGAGGGATATTGAATAAGTGCAACATCCCTCACGCCCCCTAGCACCGGCTTGAAGTTTAAAATTAAAATCTTGCAGTATGATCAACTCTTCTAATAAGAGTAGTTATTGAAGCAATAAAATGCTTCCGTCGATTTCACGCTTCATTCGGGCAACTTATATAATATCACTTTTGAGCCCGCTTCCTGAAACCAACCAGTGCTGGTGTCATATGAAGAAACATGGTCGTTACCCGAATTGGGCTCGAACCCATGATCTCTGGGTTTAGAGGCATCTTTACCACTAGGCCATCGCTCGTATTCGGGGAAGTAAACATTCAATTTACGCGTTTGTCAAATTTTTTATTTCACAAAAAGAAAGAACAAGTAAACACAGTAAATAATATGTATGAAAGTTTAATATAAGCGCTATAGAGATGTAAATTTGGAAGATCACTTTTAACTATCGTCTCCAAATAAAACATAAATATGTCACTCGTAATCTGTTAAAAAGGCTTCCTTAATGAGTTTTATGTTTTGCTGTTTTACTATGGTATAAATGCTGAATAGTTAAGTTTCATTGTTTAACCGATTCCAATTTATCAACCTTTAAATGATTGTGGTCGCTGTGGTTTTAATGTATTAAGTATATACTGTGGTTTTATTTCAAGAACATACGAGGATTAATGAAAGTTTTTTTCACATACATTAAATATATTATCATAAGAAAGATATATGCTAATAGCAGATGTTCTATCTACTATTTTTTCTTTTAACTATAGTCCCGTTCATTGTTATCTTGTATCTTAGTGATAAACTGTAAGTTACTATTTCATCAATTATCAAGCTATGGTGGCTGCTTTGTGCCATACGTGTTTTCGCCCCGCGACACCATCAAGCCAAAAGTCGAAAATTATGAAGTTAAAAAGAGGGTTATAAATAAAACGTCGCCCAAAGGGGGCGAATGTTTTATCAACTTATCTTCGCCCCGCGCAAAGCTAATTAGCGTGTTTTTGTTCCGCGCCCCCGCCGTTTTATTTCTTAAATCTCGCTCCGCGCCCCTGTCGGACGAAGGTTATTTATTAAACTTCGCCCACGCTTACGATAATATAATAAACGTGTTTTTGCTCCACGCCCTCGCCATTTGAACTTGTTAATTCTCGATTTTTCGCTAAGCAGGGTCGCGGGCGAAAATACGAGACGCAAATCTGCCACCATACAATTCAGCATTAAAATACATTTTTGTGCTACAAATCACAATGTTAACGGAAACAATTAACATAATAAAGGTAGGTTTTCGCCATTAAGTGCTATTAACCGAATTATATTGTTGTAAAACGTTAATTTGATATATGGCCCTGTTTACATCTTATTAGCGCATATATTATTAACTTTGCATATTGTGATTGTTGATGTTGTAGTTGGATTTCAAAATAATGTATGCATTGGATGAGTATGTCCAATCATATTTTTGTCATTCATTCGTGAATGCTTTATAATAAATGGACATTCTGAGAATACAGGAAAGTGGTTGCTAATGATTATTTACTTGTTTTACATTATTTTTTAAAGTTCACTGTGCGCTTCTAAGGTGAAAGTCATTGGTCATCTAAAACGGCTCAGCTCCTTGGGCAACTTTTATCTGTTACCACCGAAAATGTTTTGTTAAATTTAAAAGGAGAGACAACGTAAACAAAATCTTTAGAAAATATTGCTAGGAATCGAAGTGAGTCAAGTTATTTTATATATAACATCATGCAAATATTAACAAGTACAAGCTGTCAAGTATTACTCTTTCATATACTTTCAAATGTAGGCTTATTTTGCTGAACTCCTTAATATATTCTCATGTTTTGTAATTATTCCAGTAAGTCTATGTAAAATTGCAACGCATGTTCTTCCAAGTAATTACTAAACGGGTCCGCGAGTATTTTTCCCCTAAATACTGCATACATACGCAATTCCCGACATTAATCATATCGAAGTTCATAAATTTTAAGACTTCATGTACTGTCATCTATCAAAGACAACAGAATACGCAAAGCGAATAAAGTGTACTTGTAACAACGCAAGTTTACATCATAGCAGTTTTGTTTATATTTCAAACGCGTGAGCGCACAGTGTATGACGTAAACGTTAACAAAAGATAAAATAAAAAAGGTAAACATTTCTACGAAAGCGTCCAAACACAATGGTTCCGATCAAACTTATGTTAACAGGATTTAAAAGACCTATAAAAGAGGACGCGTCGATTTACAATTTCATAGCAAGAACACTCTTAGCTACAAGTATTTCAAAGCAAAAAAAGGAGAACATACTTAATTAGAAGGAACATGGCAAAAAGTATGATATTAGCGATTGTTTTGACCTTATTTGTTTCAGCAACCAAAGGTAAGACTTTTGTAGCTGTAATTTATTAATAATAACTGAAAAACAACATCAAATAAACCTAAAAACTAAACAAACATATTTTCTTTAAGACTGTATACAATGTAGTACACTTATAACTCATTGTGCACTGTTATATATTGTTTTAATTCACAAAGATTGGACATTGTTTTTGTCACGAACTGAGTATACTTCTTTTGAAACTTTTCGAATAAGCTCATATGTAAGCAAGTTTTAATCACATTTCTTTTTTTATGTGTTGGCGAATCGAGAATACAAATTATCCCAATAATCACCTGTATGGATACGCATTACATACATGTGTGCATTAAATTGACTGCTTTACAAGGCTTCTTCATTTAATTTTGATTTCAATGTGCGAATAGTTAAATTGCTGAGTCGGTGAAACTTACTTTTTCAAAATAATAATGTATGTTAATGGTATGAAATCTTAAGTAAAATTTCAAAGAATATCAATGACTAGAAAAGAAACCGTAACAGTACAAATAAATGTTAATTTAAACGTGAAGCAATTTGTGTAGTGTTACCCTGATTATGTTTTTTATTTCTTACACATAGCTGGCACTGGTTATATCGGTTGTTTCCAAGACAATTCGACAAGGATTTTAGAAGGTACAATGACATCAGGCAGTATGACGGTCGAGAAATGTGTACAAAGATGTAGCATGGAAAAAAAGTTGTTCGCAGGTGTTGAGGTAAATATTTTCATCTGTTTTGGACAAGATAACTCTTTTAATGTACAGAATAATAAAAAACGGAATGATAAATACAGGAATGATTTTCAGTTTTTGGTTTGCCGTTGCTTATTTATAAGAATAATTGAATGTCAATAATACATTTTGGACCAATATTTCTTGTAAAATACATGTAATCATATTTTATCACATTTAACTCTGGTTTCTATGTAAAATTCTAAAATGTGGAAATTCTTTCGTCACATACAGTGTTCCAAATATATTATCAGCATTGTCAGGTCTTTCTTGCTAGACTTGCCCATCTTTGAATAAAAAGAAAGCTTGTTGAAACAAAACAATTCAATATTATTTAAAATTGTAATATTTCAGTACAGCAACCAATGTTTTTGTGGTTCACAATTAAGACCATACGCAAAACGTCCTGAATCAGAATGTAGTTATAATTGTGGAGGAAATTCTGGCCAGAAATGCGGTGGATTTTGGAGAATTTCTTTATATAACACACACAGTGAGTAATTGTTTTTGTATATAAATTCTGAGACACAAAATTTATGAAAAATAATGAATAAAATTTACAAGAACAAAATAACACGGAAAAACCTTTACATGCAAAAAATAATAAAGCACAGAAAAGAAAGTGTAGTACTTTATCTTATCCTTGTTACTGAATAAGTATTGACAATTTTCATGCTTGGTTAAACATATAATAGGTCCTCAAGACTTCTTCACATTTATGCATTGTAAGAATGAAATTTTCATTTTTCATTAACAGGATATCTTGGCTGTTATGTAGACTCTAAATCCAGAATTCTAAGTGAAAAAAATACAAGCAACAACAAGATGACGACGGAACTTTGTCTCGCATTCTGCAAAGGCCACGGACTAAAATATGCTCTAACTCAGGTTTGTTATCAATGCATTAACTATTATCAGTATTGTAAATCTAAACAGTTTACACAAATTCCTTTTAAAGTTTTGCAAATGGAGGAATACAAATTGCTATTGGTAATATAGATATTAGTACATTTCACTAACGTTCCTAACTGTCTAACGTTTAATCGTATCTCAAATAATCTTCTAGAATTCTTTAAATTATGGACAGTTTAACCCTCCGTTTTGATAGTTATGAAAAATAACTATGACTAACGGTTACTTGCGGCTTTATTGTAAATTATACGATCTTATTCCTTGATTCAATTTATGTATATCATAACAAGTCCGGGTTAATATTTTCTGTATACAGTACTCTTAGTAATGTTTCGTTTCGTTTCTTTTGCAGTATTCTTCGCAGTGTTTCTGTGGAAACAGTTTAGGAAATGTACAGAAAGCACCCGACAGCGAATGTAGCTATGATTGTAATGGTGCTAAAAGTGAGAAATGTGGAGGGTTTTGGAGAGGGTCATTATACCTTGTTGTTTAAATGGTGAGTTTTATGCTGAACTATCTACTTTTGTGTGATTAAATATCTTTAAGATGTGGTTATGTTTTAGAATAGTATTTGTGTCTGCTTGTCTCCTTAATGTTTCAGCTATAAGAAATTTAGTTGCTATTCCTTTAAAGAATTTTCAGGGATATTTTAATCTCATGTTATTAAGAAACTAAATTGATCGGCAATTATATTATTGCAAAGAAATCTGAGAAAATCCTGGAATATAAAATTGAGTGCAGATTTGTGTCAAATTAGGAATTTAATAGATAAATGAGACTTAAGTTTGGATACTCAAGCCTAAACCACTTTTACAACATCATGTCATAAAGAATGTTTACTTTTTTCAGTGACCAATACGAAAGGAAAATGTGCGGTTGGATACTATAACTATTGACTGAATTCTAGCTTTCTATTACTTTTATGTAAAAAATCATATCATTGTTTGTAAATGAATAAAATGTGTATCAAATAGAACTTGAATTCCTTCTACTTTATTTCATCATTTAATGTAATCTTGATGCGAAGAGATTTTATTACAGAAAGTTCAAAATGTCACATAATAATTTGATATATACCAAAGAATATTTGAATGATATATATGTTATATGTACAAAAAGTAACAATACTTTAAACGTATATTCTATAACAGTTTCATAACTTTTGTTCCTCTAACCTTATTATATATACAATTTACACATATAATGATAATAATTTTTTTTTAAAGATAATAAAAGAGACCAAGTTTTTTTACAATTATATGCAGGCACTATATGTGCATGTATTAGCATCAGAGCTGCATCAGTACTAAGGGTGTAGTACTTAAGTACCATTACCAGTACTTGGCAAATTATGCAGTACCATTACCAGTACCAGTACTAGATTTTAGCTCGGTACTGCAGGACCAGTACTTTTTTTGGTGAAGTAATTAAGTATCAGTACCATTACTTTTATATATGCATCAAAGTTTGAATAAGTACACATTGTCAAATAAATAATTGCAAATATTATTCAGCAAAGAAATAAAATCATAATTTACTTTAAAGTTAACATAACATTTTTACAACTTTATAGTTTTAACATACTTTTTACAAACAATATTTACAACATATAACTGTAATACAATGCAATCATCTTTCATTTAAAACACAACAGTCTTTTGTTGCCTTTCACACCTTCACACCTCTGTTCAATTTATACCAAAGTAAATAACAACTTTTTATGGTGCTAACAATATCACTTGAAATAGGATTATTTAGAATAGAAACAATTAATTAGTGATTATTTTGCTCCTTTACTAGTACATAGAAAGTAATAAAATATTTTAATAAGGATATTTTAGGGTAAAGAGTTACTGAGTCTGTTTATCTCAATTTAATTTTTACTTAAAGTCTTTGGTGTTTTTTTTTTTTTTGATGAATACTATGAAGGAATATAGCAGCAAATTATCTATAGATTTGATAACTTACTTTTTCACAAAATTAAAATAATGTAATTTACAGCTTTATTTTATGAGAAAAATTGATGCTATTTTTATCAAAACCAAAAATACTGCCTAGTAATGCAGTAGCAGTACCACTTTTTAAGACAGTAATGCAGTACCAGTACCAGTAGTAGCAAAATTTTGTAAGATTAATTCAGTATCAGTACTAGTACTTGCAAAATCGCTGCAGTACGTACTGCAGTACCAGTACCAGTAATGCAGCTCTCATTAGCATTGATGATTTGCATTATAAAATGTGTTCATGGTGGACTAGGATGCTTGAAAGTTGTTACCTGAATATAGATAAATTTACTCTGTTTCTGATGTGTTCTAAAATGTTTGGTACATGTAATTGGATTTTGTTAGCCAACACAATCATGGCAAATTATTAATGTAACAAGGAATTGTTGTGTACTCGGCACAACAAGGAGTGTGATGGGCGTTAATTGAACGAGAACCGAGATATAAACATTTTATATAAAGAATGTCTCTTCGTAGTATTGCGCCGCATTAAATAAATTGTTGATACAAATTTGTAACATTTGGTCGGCGAACATAGAAATACGGTTTCCTTCTCATGATTTTAAGTAGAAAAGACGAGATATTACTAAATGGTTTTTTCTCTTAAACGCCGTATATAAAAGTAGATTAAAAACTTGAAAATCGTCAGGGTCGATTAAATTCAGCTAATCAATATACCTCTCAGGAAATATAATTATATAACGGATAGCAATATAAGCCCAATCGCTGTAAGTGCTAGATAAACATATTCATTCCACGAGGTTTTGAACGTCCTGTGAAGTGAAGGCTCCTTTAGCTTTTCTTGTACTTTTTGGATGATTGCAAAATATCAGTTGTAAAGCTTTATTGTTGAAAATAGTCATAGCAAATTATTTTGAAGGCTATTAAAAAGATCGTCGTATCTAGATAGTTGTTTAAAAACAACTCTGCTAATAAACATTCAGATATAATAACCCACTTAATTCAATCAATTGTGACCTCGTAGACTTACAGTCACGTGAAATGGACGGTCTTAGGTCTTGGAATATCAAAAACTATGAAAAGAAAATCGTAACATTTCTTAAATCATTGCGATTTTAAAAATACAAACATTTTAAAGATTTGTTGAAAGTCTTTTAATTGTTTAATCGTACTTGAATGCAACAATCTAAAATGTCATATAAGCAGATCAGAATGTATTTACGAGGATACGACAATGAAAATATTCCAACTCAAAGTGCTAGACGTTTAGCAAATTCATCAAATAATTTACCACTGACATATGACTATTACAAAATCAATTAAACAATAGATAATAAGTATTCAGTAATTAGATAAAAATGCATTTATTATAATATTATATACCTGTTCTCTACATGACTTTTGGAAATGCATGTATCACAAGCATTTATTCGATCAGATAGAAACTAAATATATATCACTATCCAGTGTGATCAATCAGGGTTTGGTTTAATTTGAAGTTTAAATTTGACATGATTAAAAATCTGGAAAAAAGTTTGATCCCTCAGAAGCATTAATCACAACAAAATTAAATAAAAAAATGCAGACTCGTTTTATTGAATCTGTACATGAGAGGTAATAAAAAATGCAACATCACCCATGCCTATAGCACCAGCTTGAGCTGCACTTGAAAGTGTTAGAATCAATGATCCCGGAGGACCAGAAAAATATAGCAACACTGAATAATAATTGAAAGGTTATAAAAGGAGTATTTATTATTACTTACGCTTGTATTTAATAAATTTGGCGTCGATGTCGGGGTCGGCGTCACACTTTTTGTGTGCAAGTTTGTATCATAAAAGCAACAGAAGACAATTAGTTGCAATAATACACACTTATTTGAGAGCAAAATAGATTACTACCGAAGACCCATATCTGTTAGGGCAGGATTTTGACAGAATGATGGCATTTTTAGAACTTCTTGTATATTATCAAGGCTTTTGTTTTCACTATCACGCTTTAAGGTCGATTGTAACACATTTTCAAATTCTGACAAACACATTGAAAACAATAAAAATGCAAACACGTAAAACGTCAAAATACATTTAAAATAAATGTAAATATTGTCAAATGAAAATCTGGAAACAAAGTGATCCCTCGAAAGCATTAATCACAACAAAATTACATGAAAATTGCAGATTCGGTTTGATCGAGTCTGTACATGAGGGGTAATGAATAAGTGCAAAATCCCTCACGCCCAAAGTACCGGCTTGAGCGGTACTTAATAGTTGTGGCATCAATGATCCCGAAGGACCAGAAAAATATAACAACACCGAAGTGAAGTACGGGGCAACTTTTTACAGCTGCCACACGGCATTTGACACCTTCTGTTGTGAAGTCTAAAATTCTGGAAAAGTGATCCTTCGGAACCATTAATCGCAACAAAATAACATGAGAATTGCAGACTCGGTTTAATTGAGTTTGAACATGACAGATAATGAATAAGTGCAACATCTCTCACGCCCCCTAGCACCGATTTGAAGATCAATATTAAAATCTTGCAGATCAGTTATTGAAGCAAAAAATGCCGTCGATTTCAAGCTTTATTCAGGTAATCTATTGAAACATTTGAATTAAATTTAGTTTAAAATATATAATTGTTTAACTCCAATTGATACTTGAGCAGATGTTTTGTGCAATAACAAGGTGCAATTTTCAAAACATTCAGCCATAAAAGTGAATCCAAACTAATCCACATATCTAGCATTGGTTACGGAAATTTTTTCTTCTTCTTTTGTTGTTGTTGTTCCTTTCCCACTGCTATTGCTTAATTATTTATTTCGATGTACATACAGGGTGTTTCATAATATGTGATACACTTTCAAATAATTGTTGCTTTACTGATTTTATAGCTACAAACAAAATGCTTAAACCAAAATAAACGAGACACTTTACCATTTTGAATGCGACGTAAAATACTGGAAAACGTTTACTATTAATTAATTATTATCTGTTATTTTCAAGATGGCGTTGTCCATGGAAAAGTGTCAAGATATCATAAAAATGTTCTATGAACACCATTCTATCCTATCTGTAACTAGAGGAATGAGGAAAATGTACCCTGCCAATAGAAGGGTGACCAGGCTACAAGTAAGCAGAGTAGTTAAAAGATTTGAGCAGCATGGAAGTGTACTTGACCAGAGACACCGTAACCAGGGCCATTCTTTTTCCAAGATCAAGACTGAAATACCGAGACAATCAACAGTGACCGCTATTTGTCTCTTCTAAAATACAAGTTTCTGCCTGCACTCCGTCGGAAAGGGGTTGATATGACACAAACATGGTTCCAACAAGATGGTGCCGCTCCACACACGGCCCAGAGAGTTCTTGAATGGCTTAAAAAACATTTCACAAACGATTCATCTCTCTGAAGACGGAATGCACTTGGCCGCCCCACTCTCCAGATCTGTCCTTTGGATTTTTTTCTTTGGGGCTATTTCAAGGACAGAGTCTACAAAGTGCAGCCAAAGACGATAGATCAGCTTAAACAGTCCATAAGATGTGAAATAAGAAAGATTACTAATGACATGTGCAATAATGTGATAGAAAACTTCATGAAATGTGTGGAGATAGTGTGACGCCATATTGGACGTCATTTTGAGTATATGCTATAAATGGACCCTGTTTTCAAGCGTAGCTAAAAAATATTATTGGTAGGTTAAATAAGGAAAAAACTACACTTTCATAAATGGACAGCATTCCCCTTTAATATGGTACATTTTTCATTATTACTGACATTCTTACATAAACGAAACATTTGATTAAAAGTGTATCACATATTATGAAACACGTTGTACATACAAGAAAGGTCACTAGCGTATTAAACATAAGAAGTCGTTATCAGTACAGTTAAGAGTTTATGACCTAATTTCACCCTCAGATGACCAAATGATTAAAATACATTAATGTTATTTGATATTGTCGTATTCTGGAAAGTAAGCATTTATTTTACGCGTTTGACAATAAAATTGAAATTTTGTTTCACACAAAGAAAAAAACATAGCAAATAATATGTATGGATGTTTATCATAAGCGCTATAGAAATGTTACTATCGTCTCCAAATTAACATTAATAGGTCACTCGTATTAAAAAGGCTTCCTTAATGAGTTTTATGTTGCTTTTATACTATGTATTAATGCCGAATAGTTTAGTTTCATTGGGAGTGTATACATTTATAAAACCGATTCGCCTTTTAACAAAAACCTAAATGATTGTTGGTCGCTGTGATTTTAATGCATTAACCATATACTGTGGTTTTATTTCATAAAATTTGTTCACATATATTTGATATATTATTATTTGAAGACATATGCTTAAAGCATATGTTCTATCTACTATTGTTCTATTAATTGTAGTCCTGTTCAATATTATCTTGTAGGAAAAAGTGTTCCCAAAGATAAACTGCTTTATTTTTCATGAAATATTAAATCAGCGTTATATTCATTTTGCATTGCTATTATATCACAACGTAAACAGAAACAATTTACATAATAAAGGTAGGTTTTCGTCATTAAATGAGAGTGACCGAATTATATTGTTAGAAAAACGAAAATATAATGTATGATATCATGTTTATATCTTAATAGCGCATATATTACTAACTTTGCATATTGTTGTTGTTTTTGTTGTATTCTTCATGGAACGACTTTTCTTAGAGTTTCTATAGTTCTTTATATTTTTTTTTTTAATTTTCCAAAAAGACAATTAAAATAAATCTAGGAAAGAAAATAAAGTAAAGAAACCGAGGAAAAGGTAAATTGGTGAAAGCGAACATAAATTTTTTTACAGTCATGCTATTTTCATTGCATGTATCAACATTTCTTGTAGATCTTAAAGTGCAGTGTTATTCCTTAAAGGAACTCCACTGAGACCTAAAATACTTAAACCATAAATTTGCACTTTAAACAGAAATATATGCAATTGATAGTTAAGAAATACTCAGAATAAATTGAAACTATTCTTTGCCGGATTGTAGTAAAAAGCTTTGCAATGTAGGGTCATATTCGAATTCCACATTTAGAATAATTGTTCTTGAAAAAAAGAGTGAGCGTACGATCTGAAATTGTGTACAAAATTTCTATGAAAGGTTTACACAAGCGTTGGATATTTTATTTACTAAACAATGTCAGAGGAAAAAATAACGCCATTGAACTAGTTTTTTATTAAAGTACGCGCGTAAATATTTTTTATGTTTTTGGAAATTATTATAGGCCGTAAACCTTCTTGTTTACCGGTTAAAACAGCGTATATTATAAGGCCATAGAGGAGTGTTGTTGTGTTTTTCTTTTATTTTTATAGATTGTTTTATTTTCATTTCCAGAAAGACGGTCAAAATGAATCCCGGAAGGCCAAGAAACTAAAGAAAGCTCAGGCATGATGTTAAGGACTTTATAATATAAACAACATAGATTGTGTGTACTTACGAGAGTATCTGTTTATTAAAGTATACCTCATTTGTAGGTTTTAAAATGCGTTGATATTTCGTATTGTATTAATTGTGTAATTTCTAACCATTGTTATAGTTGACTCGTTCATTTATCATTTTTCTTACAAAAATGGTGTTACGGAAAAATGTATTGTTTGTACATTTACGGCAGAAAAACAAAACAAAAAAGTTGAAAGTAATGTATGAGCTTACACCTTCCAAAAGTGACATTTGATCATTGATTGGTGAATGTATACTAGGCTGTAAAATAAATTCCCCTGAATTTAAACACTTTTAAACAGTCTTGTATCTTTTCTATCAAATAAACATAATTCAATAAATCAAATAAAAACATTATTCTTTTTTACGTTGTCTGTGTTGGTTTTCTGTTTTAAGTCTAGACATCTACTTTAGCGGTTAGAGTTTCTAGAAATTTATTTTAAATATTAACTTGCTTTCATAAGAATGGACATTGAAAAAAAAATGCCATTCCTCGCAAAGTTGCGATGATTTATTCTTCCAAGTGAGGATCTAACCAGCTATCTTATGAAAGGTCGGAATATCTGTTCGGGTACACGCTTGGATGACTTCCACCACCGGTAAAGCAAGCACGTTACCATAAGATCTTGAAGTGTCACTGCGACTTTACATAATAAAATATACCAAAAGGAAAACAAATGAAATCGCAATCCTGTTATTATTTATTGCATAATTAATAATATGGTAATATTTTGATTTTTTAGATGCAAATTTAAACTGCTGATCATTATTATTCTAATGTTTCATCAAACGGGAAGAAATACAATTAAAAGGTGGAAAATACATCAAGTGAACACTTCTTAAAGTGCAGAACGATAACGTCGTAACCTTTGTGTTTATATTTATATGTTTGAAAGAAAACATTTCAGCATTATATTAAGTAATTTAATCTTTCCATGAAAGTGTCACGTAAATATTGGAGAGAAATACGGAGAAAAAACAAGGCACACAATTTAATTAATTGCGATTGTTTTCAGTAATAACGGTATGACTTATTAGATTATTTTACCCATAATATTTTAAGATATGATTAATACCATCAGATAACTCTTCAAAATCTCTTAAAAACTTTTTTGGACTGTTTTATGGATATTATTATCGATTATTCATATTTGCGCACAATTTAAAATTATTGCAATATTTCAGTACAGTAACAAATGTTTTTATGATTCAACATTAAGACCACACACAAAAGAAACCTAGATAAGAATGTGGTTGCAATTGTTGTAGAAACTCAGACCAGAAATGTGGCATATCATTGTATATTTCACATAGTAAGTGATCACATTCGTATGTATACTTCTAAGCATACGAGATCAACCCTTGTATATTGTATTAAACAAATAAACCCTCCAATATAAAAACCGTAAACATGCATAATAATATCAATTTGGTCAGCATGATCATATTTTAAACTGTCAAAATCAAAATCGTAGCTTTTGAAAAAAAGTATTTTAGTCGTTTATAGTCGAAGATTGAAAATTGCCAATGCTGTTGCTTGAGTGGCCAGTATAATATTGCACCAATCCTTGTATCTCATATCTTCGGGCATATAAATACATCATTTCTTCTTTCCTGTCTCTTACTAACTCATTATTATTATTTTTATCATCATCATCATTCTTTAAAAGACAGTGCCTAATTTATTTGATTTGGACGTGATACATTTGGCAATTAGGATACAGGAACATAACAGTTTGACTGTTTACTGCCTTTTTTAACTTTAAACACAGCAGGGTTAAATTTTAACGTTGAGCAAATGTTACATGAAATCAACCGAGAAGACGGTTCATTTTTTAGCTTGACTTTTGACAACAGCCAGACTGATATATGATCATTGTTATTTTAAATTTATCAACCACTTCTAAAAAAAATACAATTAACGGAAAACCATGACGTCATTACCCTTGATTTTTATAATTAAGCACTCTCGGTTGAATTATGTTTAACATAAAAAATAATTATCGTAAAAATTCTTCTTCAAAACTACATGGGCAAAATCTTAGGTATTTTGCATGAAACATGTTCTACTGGCCCTATTATAGCCCTGGTGTCAAATTGGTTCAGCGACGGGGTGTTAAGTATTAAACCCCTATCTACATTGAATAACAATTGAAAAAAATTGCTCCTACAAAACTACTTGGCTAAGATTCTTGGAAAGAAACATTGTCTACTCATCTGCAGCCCTTGGTTCAAAATTGGTCCCATACAGCAGAGGTGATGTAATGGATTTTTCTAATATGTATATAGGAAATCTTATAAAATATTTGATTTAGAAAATGCAAGGGCTTAAATATTTAGCATAAAATAGTGTGTAGTTGACAAATACAAATTTTGTTTTTTACAAATTGTGGACTTTAACATGTTAAAATATGACATCAACAACAAAATTGAACAGAAACAAAAACATAACCTACTTCAGTTAGGTTACCTAAAGTAGTTACTGAACGGGTCCTCGTGTATTTTCCCCCTAAATACTGCATGTGTACGCAATTTCCTACATTAATCATATCAAAGTTCATAAAATTTTAAGACTGCATGTACTGTCATCTATCAAAGGCAAAAGAATATGCAAAGCGAATAATGTTAATCTGTAACACAGTCCGTTTACATCATAGCAGTATTGTTTATATTTAAAACGCATGACTGCACAGTGTATGACGTAAACGTTAACAAAAGAGAAATTAAAAAGGTAAACATTTCTACGAAAGCATCCAACCACAATGGTTCCGATCAAACTTATGTTAATAGGATTTAAAAGACCTATAAAAGAGAACGCGTCGATTTACAATTTCATATCAAGATCACTCTTAGCTACAAGTATTTTATAGCAAATAAAGAGAAGAACATACTTAGAAGGAACATGGCAACAAATGTGATATTAGCGATTGTTTTGACAGTATTTGTTTCAGCAACCAAAGGTAAGGCATTTGTAACTGTAATTTATTAATAACTAAACAACATCAAATAACCCTAAAAACTAAACAAACACATTTTCTTCAAGACTTTATAAAAGGTTTAGAAGTTAAAATTTAATTTAGTGTAACTTATTGTGCACTGTTTTTATATTGTTTTAATTCACCAAGATTCGCTTTTTAAATTTTTCTTTTATGTAAATCTTTTGTAACTGTTCGAATTATCTCATATAGATGCAGGTGTTAATCAAGTTTTTCTTTATTCTTTCTGTTGAAGAGTCGAGAATACAAATTATCTCCGTAATAATATGCATAACAACGCATCGCGTACCTGTTGCATTAAATTGATTTTGCTTAACGAGTTTTCTTTATTTTATTCATCATTTAGAATTTGATTTCAAAGTTCAGATACTAAAATTCTGAAATTGCTGAGTCCGTAAAACGATTGATGAAACTTACTTTTTCAAAATATTTATGTATGTACATGGTATGAAGAGAAAAACCGCTACAGTACAAATAAATGTTAAATTAAATAAAAGCAATTGTTTTATTTCTTACACGTAGCTGGCACTGGTTATATCGGTTGTTTCCAAGACAATTCGACAAGGATTTTAGAAGGTACAATGACTTCAGGCAGTATGACGGTCGAGAAATGTGTACAAAGATGTAGCATGGAGAGAGAGATGTTCGCAGGTGTTGAGGTAAATATTTTTATCTGTATTGGATCTCTTGAATATATGAAATATTGAAGATCGAATGACCAATACACTTATAATCTTCAGTTAGTCAGTTATTGGTTTGCTGTTGCTCATTTGTAAGATAATAATTGAATGTCTATGATACATTTTGGAACAATAGTTCTTGTAAAAAGTGATATTTTATCCCATTCAACTCTGGTTTCTATGTAAAATTCTAAAATATGGAAATTCTTTCGTCACATACAGTGTTCCAAATTTATAACCAGCATTGTCAAGTCTTTCTTGTAAGACTTGACATTCTTTGCATAAAAGAAAGCCTGTTGAAACAATTCAATATCATTTAAAATTGTAATATTTCAGTACAGCAACCAATGTTTTTGTGGTTCACAATTAAGACCATACGCAAAAAGTCCTGAGTCAGAATGTAGTTATAATTGTGGAGGAAATTCTGGCCAGAAATGCGGTGGATTTTGGAGAATTTCATTATATAACACGCACAGTGAGTAATTATTTTTGTATATAAATTCTGAGAAACAAATCTTGTCAAATGAAAAATAATAGAATAATAAAATTTACATGAAAAACTCCTTTACATACAAAATAATAATAATGAAGCACAGAAAATAAAGTGTAGCACTTTATCGTATCCTTGTTATTGAATTAGCATTGAACATTTTCAAGTTTGGTTAAACATATAATAGGTTCTCAAGACTTCTTCACATTTATGTATTGTAAGACTGAATTTTAATTTTTCAATAACAGGATATCTTGGCTGTTATGTAGACTCTAACTCCAGAATTCTAAGTGAAAAAAATACAAGCGACAACAAGATGACGACGGAACTTTGTCTAGCATTCTGCAAAGGTCATGGACTCAAATATGCTCTAACTCAGGTTTGTTATCAATACATTAGCTATTATCGGTTGCGTAAATCTAAACAGTTTACAGAAACTTCTTTTTAAGTTTTGGAAATGGAGGAACACAAGCTGCTATTGGTAATATAGATATTAGTACATTTCATTAACGTTCACAAGTGTTTTAACGTTTAAACGTTTCTCGAATAACGTTCTAGAATTCTTTAATTTATGGACATGTATAACCCTCTGTTTTGATAGTTATGAAACATAACAATGACTAACAGTGCCATCTGTGGCTTTATTGTAAATTATACGATCTAATTCCTTAATTCGATTTTTGTATATCATGAAAATTCCGGGTTTTTTTCTGTGTTCAGTACTTTAAGTAATGTTTCGTTTCGTCTTGTTCCTTTTGCAGTATTCTTCGCAGTGTTTCTGTGGAAACAGTTTAGGAAATGTACAGAAAGCACCCGACAGCGAATGTAGCTATGATTGTAAAGGTGCTACAAGTGAGAAATGTGGAGGGTTTTGGAGAGGGTCATTATACCTTGTTGTTTAAATGGTGAGTTTTATGTTGCACTTTCAAGTTTTGAGTGGTTAAAATATGTCAGATATGCTTATGTTTAAGAATTGTATTCTTGTCTGCTTGTCTCCTAAATGTTCGCATATTAATTCAGTCGCTTTTTTTTCTTTTATTTAAACAATATTTTAATCATACAATATTTAGAAAATGCACAAAATTGATTGGCAAGTTTATATATATTAACTGCAAAAGTAAGAGAAATCCAGGCGTATCTAATTGAATGCAGATTTGTGCCATGTTAGGAATTAAAAGGTTTCGTGAGACTTTATTTGGATACTCAAGCCTGAATCACTTTTACAACATTATGTAATAAAGAATGTTTTCTTTTTTCAGTGCACCCATACGAAAGAAAAATGCGCGGTTGGATACTATACCTATTGGCTGAATTCTAGCTTTAAATATTTTCATTTATATTACTTTTATGTAAAAACATATTATTGTTCGTAAATGAATAAAATGTCTATCAAATAGAACTTGAATTTCTTGTACTTTATTTCATCATTTAATGTCATCTTGTAGTGAAGAGCTTTTATTGCAGAAAGTTCAAAATTTCAGATAATCATTTCATATACACCAAAGAATGTTTATTTAAGTTGTTATCTGACTAGAAATAATTTTACTGTTACCTACAATGTTTGGTACATGTATTTGCATTGTGTAAGCCAAGAAAAACATGACATATAATTGATGTAATAAGGAAGTTTTGTGTATTCGGCACAAGAGGGAGTGTGCTGAGCGGTAACAGAATGAGAACCCAGATATAAACATTTTATATAATGAATGTCTCTTCGTAATATTGCGGCGCAATACATAAATTGTTGATACAAATTCGTAACATTTGGTCAGTGAATATCGAAATACGGTTCCCTTATGATACTGATTTTAAGTGACAAAGTAGAGATATTACAAAATGGTTTACTCTTTAAATAGTAGAATCATCAGTGTCCATTTAAGATCTAATTAAGGATGTAACAAGACATAAGTGAAATTTTACTGAAAATGTTTATATGTATTATCATTAATCTCTAAAATATATGCATCATTTGTTATTAAAATATTTGGCTTAGACTTTATCGAAATTAAATTTCTAATTACCTCCCTTGATTTACATAAAACGGTAGAAATTCGGTAATATCTTTACAAATGATACTCTTTGGAATTGATACATCTTCATTTGAGTATTATATTTATTATATAAAACCATACAAATGAGTAAAAGGATCTTTAATTAATCAATATAACCCCTCAGGAAATATAATAATATAACGGATGGCAGTTTACCGTCCAATCGCTATAAGTGCTAGATAAACTGATTCTTTCCACGGTGTTTGGAACGTCCTGTGAAGTCAACGCTTATTTAGCTTGTATTGTAGGTTTACTGTTTTGAATGATTGCAAAATATCAGTTTTATAGCTTTATTGTTGAAAATAGTCAAAGCAATTATTTTGAAGGCTATTTAAATGATCATTGTACCTAGATATTATTTGAATGAGGTTATATTGACGACGAAACAAACTCTGCTACATAAACATACAGATATATTTAACCCACCTAATTCAATCAATTGTGACCTCGTAGACTTACAGTGGTCTTGATCTCGGAAGCATGAATCACATCAAAATTAAATGAAAATTGCAGACTCGGTTGCAGAGTCTGTACATGAGGGGGAATGAAAAAGTGCAACATCCCCCATGCCCCCATATCACCAGCTTGAGCTGCACTCAATTTTCAACACTTATTAAAGTGTTAGAATCAATGATCCCGAAGGACCAGAAAACTATAACAACACTGAATAATGATTAATAGGTTATTAAAGGAGTATTAAGTATTACTTGCGCTTGTATTTCAAGCGTCGATGTCGGCGTCGATGTAGGGGTCGGAGACACACTTTTTGCGTGCAAGTTTGTATCACAAAATCAATGGATGAAGAGAATAAGTTGAAATAGCACACACTTATCTGAAAGCAAAATAGGTTACTAACGAAGGCCCATAGCTCTTAAGGACATTTTTTTTCCAGAATGCTGGCATTTTTACCACTTCTTGTATATTATCCAGACTTTTGTTTTCACTATCACGCACCAAAGTCTATTGTTCCAGATTGTCAAATTCTGCCACAATAAAAATGCAAACACGGTACAAGTAAACATACAATAAATTTTAAATGAAGTTCAACGTTAAAATCTTGCAGTATGTAAACTCTTCTGTTAAGAGCAGTTATTGAAGCAATAAAAATACTTCCGCCGATTCCAAGCTTTATTCGGGTAATCTTTAATCATTCAAATATTAAAACATTTGAATTAACTTTAGTTTAGAATATACTTGTTTAACTCCAATTGATACTTGAGCAGATATATTTTGTGCCATAACAAGATGCAATTTACAAAACAATTAGCTATAAAATTGATCAAGCACTGGACACTGCAAATTGTTTAATAATTGATTTAATACATACAATGAAGGTCAATGACAAGCGTATTAAATGTCAGAACACATTACCTTTCAGTACAGTTATCTTTTCAAGCTTTGAGTTTATGAACTTATGCCACCTTCTGATGACCAACAGTCATGTTGTTTGATATTGTCGTATACAGGGAAGTAAGTATTAATTTTTCGCGTTTGCCTCTATTTTTGTTTCACACAAAGAAAAGAACAACAAAGTAAATAATATGTATGGAAGTTTATTATAACCGCTATAGAAAAAATAAATTTGCTGGATCACTTGTTACTATCGCCTCTAAATAAAACATTAACAGGTCCCTCGAAATCTGTTTAAAAAGCTTTTTAATGAGATTTATGTTTTACTGTTATACTACGGTATAAATGCCGAATAGTTAAGTTTCATTGGGAGTATACATTTATAAAAACCGATTGGACTTTTATCAACCTTGACTTTTGACAAGAACCTACATGATTTGTGGTCAATGTGGTTTTAATGTATTGATCATATACTGCGGTTTTATTTCAAAAACAGGATTAATAAAAGTTTTTTTTTCACATACATTTGATATATTATCATTAGAAAGCTATATGCTAATAGCATATGTTCTATCTTATCGTTTTCTTTTAACCCTGTAGTCCTGTACAGTGTTATATTGTAGGAAAAAGTGTTCCAAGTGATAAACTGCTAAATATTTCATGAAATATCAAATATAAGCGTTAAATTCATTTTTTGTTCTATAAATCACAACGCTAACGAAAACAATTAACATAATAAAGGTAGGTTTCCGCCATTAAGTGCGAGTGACCGAAAAACGATAATATCTTGTCTGACTATTAATTGCGCGTATATTATTAACTTTGCATATTGTTGTTGTTGTTGTATTCTTCATGGAACGCCTTCATGTTTACAACTTAATGGCGCATATATTATTAACTTTGTATATTATTGCTTCATGGAACGCCTTCATGTTTACAACTTAATGGAGCATATATTATTAACTTTGCATATTACTATTGTTGTTCTTGTTCTTGTCCTTTTATTTCATGCTTTCCAGTGTTTTATTGTAATATATCAGATGATTATATTCTCATAAACCACTAGTGAAATTTATAAAATATAATTTTCACTGTAGCCGGACTATATCTGAATGCAGATGAAAAGAAAATCAAAACTGCAAGGAATAACAGGCATAAATAAATGCCGTCATGCGTAAATTTTGCTTCTTTAAGAAAAGGAAGTCGATGTCATCAAAGATCATGTTAAAAATGTAGCACAATTAGAGAAATTTAACAGACCTATGTTTCAAAATTGATGATGTGACGTCATGATGTGATGACGTCACAATGCGCGACGTTACGCGGAAAAATTAGTAAAAAGTACTTAAAATCACTTAAAAAGCATGAAATAAAAAGAAAATTTATATATTTTACATATAAGATTGAAATATATTTCATTCGTGAACACCAGCTATTATATTTTCACTCGTGGCTACGCCACTCGTGAAAATATTGCATCTGGTGTTCACTCAGTGAAATTATATTTCAAGCTTACATGCAAAACAAACAAATATCCTCTATATCTGTATCACAGTTTGTCTGTTTACTGTTTCTTTTTTGGTGGTTTCGCAAACTCAATGTTATTTACAAACAAACGTACATAAAAGCTGAAAATCAGCTGGACAGAATACGGATAATCGACATAAAAGGCAAAGGCATGTAAAATTTGAAAAAAAATCACTAGTTACATTCTCATAATTCTTACGACGTTAAGCGTTTTCAATGAAAAATCTACATTTTTTTTCTTGGAAGCGAGAAAACGCCTTGTGTTTGACAGCAGGCGGAATGATAAATGGGCATTGTTTTCCTAATTCATCAAACAGTTCTACAATATTTGTTGACGTAAACAGACATCTATTACGTCATTAGCCTTGTTTTTTTTATTAAGTAAGCTCGATTGAATTTTTGGGAAAAACAGGAAATCGTTGGTCTTATACTTACATTTGAGCAGCTTGAATTTTCATAAGCACTCATTTTTCCTTTCGTATTTTTTTTCTTTTTAACTGTTGACGTTTAAACTTCTGTAGCACCACTAGGATTAGAGCATAGATATTTGACACAAGGCATTGTCTTGTGTACCCTCTACACAGATTGCTTAATATTTAGCCCTGGAGATAAAACTGGCTCTGCTTAAGGGGTCATATGTTTTCGTTTTATATATAAAGACCGAAAGCTAAGGAAGAAACAAACTTGTGGACCTTACCGACGATTGTTCACATTATACTTCAGATGTCGCCAGAGTGTACTTATTTGCCCTAAATAATGCATGCATGCGTTATGTCCTACATTAATCATGTTAAAGTACATATTTTTTGCCTAGTGTCATCCGTCAAAGAATAATACGCATCACTTGTACTGTAGAAAGTTTATATCATAACATTATTGTTTGTGATTTAAAAGTATGAGTGCACAAAGTTCAACGAAAAAAAATGTTAAAAGGTAAACATTTCTCTGAAAGCGTCCCATCGACATTTTTTTCTATCAAGAGACGTAAATAGGATTTAAAAGACCTATAAAAGAGGACGATCCGACTTACAACTTCATATATACAAAAACTTCATAGCAAAGAAGAGAAGTACATAGACGGAACATGGCAACCAATATTATATTTGCGATTGTTTTGACCGTATTTGTTTCATCAACTAAAGGTTAGACATTTGTAATAGTAATTTGATCATAAGTAAAAAGCATCATCTAATAACTCTTTAAAAGCAAAGAAAAATATTTTCTGTCACAATCTCATAAAATGAGAAAATAAGCTTATTGTTCACTGTTATAATTATATTGTTTAATTCACCAAGATTGGACTTGTCTTTTCACATTTTTTTTGTGTCAAATTGAATATACAATGTACTTCTTTTGCAACAGTTCGAATTAGCTTATATGGAAGCAGGTTTTAATTCAGTTTCTTTTAATCAAAGAATCGAGAATAAAATTATCTCCGTAATCACAGGCACTTGACTTTGTTTTAAGTGTTTTCGTCATAATTTTCATTATTTAGAATTTCATTTAAATGTGCAGATACAAAACTTCCTTAGTCGGTAAAACGAATGATTCAGTGTATGTACATGGTATATGAAGTAAATTTTTAAATAATGCCAATAAACAGAAACAAAACCGTTAGAGTACAAATAAATGTTAAATTAAACATAAAAACAATAGTGTATATTTAATTTCGTTTTAATTTCTTACATGTAGCTGGCACTGGTTATATCGGTTGTTTCCAAGACAATTCGACAAGGATTTTAGAAGGTACAATGACTTCAGGCAGTATGACGGTCGAGAAATGTGTACAAAGATGTAGCATGGAAAGAAAGAAGTTCGCAGGTGTTGAGGTAAAAAAAAATATCTGTTTTGGACAAGGTAACTCCTTAATGTACAAAAAATAAAAAATGCATGATAAATGCACAATTAATATTCAGTTATTTAGTTATTGGTTTGCCATTGCTTATTTATTAGAACCATTGAATGTCTATGATTTTTGAACAATATTTCTTGTAAAATAGTCATATTTTAACACATTTAACTCTGGTTTTTATGTAAAATTCTCAAATGTGGAATTTCTTGCGTTACATACAGTATTCAAAATTTATTATCAATCTTTGCATAAAAATAGGGCAGTTGGAACAATTGACTTAAAAATCATCTAAAATTGTAATATTTCAGTACAGTAACCATTGTTTTTGTGGTTCACAATTAAGACCATACGCAAAACGTCCTGAAACAGAATGTAGTTACAACTGTGGAGGAAATTCTGGCCAGAAATGCGGTGGATTTTGGAGAATTTCGTTGTATAACACGCACAGTGAGTAATTTTTTTGTTATAAATTCTGAGAAAGAAATCTTGTCAAATGAAGCATAATGAATAAAATTTTCACGAAAAACTCCTTTACATACAAAATGATAATAAAGCACAGAAAATATAGTGTAGCACTTTATTGTATTCTTGTTATTGAATTAGCATTGAACATTTTCAAGCTAGGTTAAACATATAATAGGTTCTTAAGACTTCTCCTCATTTATGGATTGTAAAAAATGAAATTTCAATTTTTCAATAACAGACTATCTTGGCTGTTATGTAGACTCGCAATCTAGAATTCTAAGTGAAAAAAATACAAGTGACAACAAGATGACGACGGAACTTTGTCTTGCATTCTGCAAAGGTCATGGACTGAAATATGCTCTAACTCAGGTTTGTTATAATTGCATTAACTATTATCGGTATGGTAAATCTAAACAGTTTACACAAACTTAAGTTTCGCAAATGGAAGGACAAACATTGTTTTCTGGTAATATAGATAAATTTCATTAATGTTCGGAATTTGTTTTATACAAAACGTTTCTCGAATAATTTTCTAGAATTATTTAATTTATAGACATGTATACCCGTCTGTTGTGATAGATATGAAAAATAACTATGGCTAACAGTGCATTCGTTCTATTTACAGACGATGGCTTAATTGTAACTTATGCGATCTAGTTCCTTTATTCAATTTTGTTGATCATGACCATACCGGGTATTTATTCCTTATACTGTACTCTTAGTAATGTCACGTTTCGTTTCATTTGCAGTATTCTTCGTATTGTTTTTGTGGAAACAATTTAACAAATGTACAGAAGGCACCTGACAGCGAATGTGACTATGATTGTAAAGGTGCTAAAAGTGAGAAATGTGGAGGGTGGTGGAGAGGATCATTATACCTTGTTGTTTAAATGGTGAGTTTTATGTTGAATTGTCAAGTTTTGTATGGTTAAATTATATTTTAGATATGGTTATGTTTTAAAATTGTACTCGTGTCTGTTTTTTTCCTAAATGTTAAATGTTTCAGCTATAAGCAAGTCAGTCGCTATTTTCTAATAAACAATGATATTTTGATCATACCATATTTAGATATTACAAATAAATTGATCGGCAGTTATATAACTGAAGAGAAAATCCAGGCATATAAAATTGAATGCAGATTTGTGTCATGTAAGGAATTTAAAAGGTTTCATGAGACTTTATTTGGATACTCAGGCCTAAATCAATTTTACAACATCATGTTAAAAAGAATGTTTTATTTTTTCAGTGCACCCATACGAAAGGAAAATGTGCAGTTGGATACTATACCTATTGACTGAATACTACCTTTAAATATTTTTATTTCTATTACTTTTATGTAAAAAAAACATATTATTGTTTGTAAATGAATAAAATGTCTATCAAATAAAACTTGATTTCCTTCTACTTTATTTAATCATTTAATGTTAAATTGTAGCGAAGAGATTTAATTACAGAAAGCTCAAAATTGCACATAATATTTTTTATATATACCAAAGGAAATTTGAATGATAAATATCTACAAAAGTAGCCATGATTTAAACATATAAAAATTATGCCTATAATAACTATTGTTCCTGTAACCGTATTATATATACAATTAACACAGACATTGACAATAAAACATTTCTTTTAAATATTATAAAGTTTATATACGAGTAAAACTATTTACAGGCACTTTATGTGCATACAACAATGTATTAGCATTGATTATCTAAAACTATGAATATGGTATAAGCTGTGGTGCTGAAAAGTTGTTCCCTGACTAAAAATACTGTTAACTGTCTTCCCGTTCTTTTGTTGTTGTTTTGTTGGGTTTTTTTTTCGTTTTTCTAATGTTCGTGAACCAAAGAATCATAGCATATAATGTGACATTATGGTCATTATTCATTGTCAAGTTAAGATAAACTAAGTATGTTTCTCAAAAGATTTAATGTTATAATTGTGATTGACCAACATTTGATATAGGAAAATATTTAGAATAAAATATGAATCTGTCTAATTTCAACTCTTTTTTATACATTGAATGTTACAGGCAAAGTCCGATAGGTATTTATAAAATGTTCTTTTGGTCACGTGAGTTAATTATTGTTCATGCTAGAAAGTTATTGAAAGAAATTAAAACTTATTTTGACTGTCGTCACTTTAATGTAACAAAGAAATATTGTACTCGTCAAAAGAGAGAGTGTGCTGGGCGTTAAGAAAATGAGAATCCATATCTAAACATTTTATATACATGTAATGAATCTCTATTCGCAATATTGCGCCGTTTTACATAGATTGTTGATACAATTTCGTAACTTTGTGACCAGTGAATATCGAAATATGGCTCCCTTATCATACTAATGTTAAGGTGAAGAAAAATGATACATGTATTAATAAATGTTTTACTCACAAGTGTTGTATCAAATAATAGATTATAAACTTTAAATTCAGCTCTGTCCATTCAATGCAATTAATCAAAATAACCATAAGAAAATATATTAATATAGCGGATGGCAATTTACAGTTCGATCGCTGTAACTGTTAGATAAATTGATTTGTTTCACGATTTTCGTTTTGGGAACATCATGTTTCGAACGTCCTGTTGTTAAGTTAATGTTCTTTTACCTCATAGTGTACTTTTCGGATGATTGCAAAGTTTTTGTTTGAAAATAGCCATAGCAAACTATTTGGAAGGCTATTTAAAAGATCATCGTATCTAGATAGTTGTTTAAATGTGGTCAGATTGAAAAAGAAACAACTGTGCTAAATAAACCTACAGGTATTTATATATAATCCACCTAACCTAATCAATTGTGATGTCACAAAGACAGTACTGACACTTGTACTAGACATACGATCTTAGAATGTCACAAACTGTGAAAAAGAATCGTAATATTTCTTTATTCATTGCGATAATAAAACTACAAAAATGTATCCCTCATATACAAACTCAATTAAACCGAGTCTGCAATTTTTATGATTAATGATCCCAAGTGATCACACTTTGTCAAGATTTTTTTTATTTATTTAGTTATTTTTTATTGAGTATTCAAACTTGAATGCAACAGTCTACAAATGTCATTTAAGTTCGGGTATTTATCTACGAAGATAGAAATATTTCAGCACGTGGTTGCATCATAAAAATTTACCACTGACATTTGACTATAACAAACTCAAGCACACAATAAATAATGTTTTTTTCACATTTTATACATGACTTTAAGAAATGCATGTATCATAAGCACTAATCCGACCAGACAGAAACTAAATTTATATCACTATCCAGGATGAACTATACTGACGTTCATATACTTAATTCAATCAGGTTTGATATAATTTGTTGTTTAAATTTGTAAAGATAAATAATTGAAAGGTTATGAAATGAGTATTTTGTATTACTTGTACTTGTATTTGGCTCTTATGTATTCTACTAGAATTAATCACGTTCTGCGTTACTGCGTAAAGCCTAGTAAAATCAAATATTTACATGTTCCAGAGCAATAATCCTAATATATTAACTCTTTTATTTAAAACAAAAACACAAAGAAAAAGACTCCAGCTGAGCAGATATATGGACGAGAATGTTTCCATAAAGTTTTATCTTTTATTATTGGATCATATTTAAAATCTGTTAAACATCTAAATGGCGTTATGTTCAAATATACACATACAAATGTGCAATACCCTCGGTTTTGTTTGACTGTAAAATGAAATGTAAATGTTTAATACCAAGTCGTACAATTCGTTTATACCTCGTTGACCGTTTTAGCCCGAGTACTCGAAGAGGAGGACAAGAGATAACTGATGTTTTCACCCAGACGTCGACGTCGGAGTCGGCGTCATACTTTGGTTCAGTTCTTGCATGCAAGTTTGTATCACAAAAAGAACCATAGGATATGGGTTGTTGAAAAACCACATATTTGATTGAGAGCATAATAAGAGGTCACTATTTAAGGCCCATAGTTCTTACGGCAGGTTTTTTTTTACAGAATAATAGCATTTTTAGGACTTCAAAATTTCTACACTATCCAGGCTTTCACCATCATTGTTTCTCTATCTCGCATTAATGTCGATTGATACAGATTTTTAACTTCTGACAAACACATATGAAACAATAAAAATGCAAGCACGTACCACGTAAAAATACAATATATGTCACTATTGTCAAATGAAGTTCAACTTTAAAATCTTGCAGTATGATAAACTCTTCTAATAAGAGCAGTTATCAAAGCAATAAAAATGCTTCGGTCGATTTCATTTTATTACCGGTAATCGTTAACCATTCAAATATTGAAACATTTGAACTAACTTTTGTTTAGAGTATTCTTGTTTAACGCCAATTGATACTTAAGCAGGTATATTTTGTGCAACAACAGGGTGCAATTTACAAAACATTCAATCCAAAATAATCCACACATCTAGCAGTGGATACTGCAAGTTGTTTAACTATCAATTTAAATGTAAAAACATACAATGAAGGTCACTGACAAGCGTATTAAACGTAAGAACTCGTTACCTTTCAGTACAGTTACCTTTTCAAGTTTTGAGTTTATGACCTTATGTCACCTTTTGATGACCTATAAATGATTAAAATACATTAATGTTGTTTCATATTGTCGTATTAAGGGAAGTAAGCATCTACTTCACGCATTTGTGAAAACATTAAAAAAAACATCTCTATTTCGGTTTCGCAAAGAGAAAAGAACCGCACAGTAAATTTTAATAAACGCTTTTGAAGTATAAATTTGAAGGATCACTTGTAACTATCTTCCTAGAAACACACTCTAATTTTTTTATGTTTTACTGTTATATTAATATGATATTAATAATCATTCTGAATAGTTTAAGCTGTATTGCAATATTACATCCAGAAAACCTTTTCGCCCTTTATTAACCTTGACTTTTGACAAGAACGTAAAGATGTATGGTCGCTGTGGTTTTATTTTATTAACCAAATATTGTGGTTTTATTTGAACAATACCAAGATGTATAAAGTTTTAATTTGCATTTGAAAACTACATACTGATTGTTTTATCTACTATTTACTAGTTTACTTTAAAAGTGTAGTCCTGTACAATGTTATTTGACGGAAAAACAATGTTATTAAATGTTAATTTTTCCATGAAATAGTATATCAGCGTTAAATTGTAGGTTAATATAAATAACAACGTTAACGGAAATAGATGACGTGATAAAAAAAGTTTTCGCTATTAAGTGCGCATGACCTAATTATGGTTTTGGAAAACAATAGTATTACGACTGCTTATTTATGTTAATATCTTAATAGCGCGTAAATTATTAACTATGCATATCTTGTTGTTGTTGTTGTCGTTGTCGTGATTTGAGTTTTGTAGTTGCTTTGTTTAATGTTCCAAGAAGACAATCAAAATACATCTAGGAAAGCAAAGAATGTAAAAAAAAAGCTGAGGGCAAAATGAATTGATGAAAAGGAACATAAATTGTAAATAGTCACGCTTTTCTCATTACATAAATCAACTTTTCTTGTATATCCTCAAGCGCAGTGTTACTTTTTAATGCATAAATTGTATAATTTAATGTCTTATTATATTTTATTTGCATTGACGTATTATATGACTGTAATGACAACAATGATTTCACGGAAACCTTATTGTTTGCTTATTCAACATCACGTCAATAAAATTAAATGTCTTAGAAATAAAAACGCTATCAAAATTAAGTCACGAGCAATAGATTAAAACCGCGTTATTATTCTACCAAATGTTAGTACATTTATATTTATCAGATTCAAATTGCAATATTATGTATTTTTCCATCGCCGTCTATGTATCCTTTAGGGTTTTTACTTTTACTTTTGTTTCAGATTTATATTATGAAATAATATGATTTTATATATGTTTATATGATTTGTAATGTATATCTGTCGTCGTGACTAAACAAATGCAAAAAAGTAATGAAACTTTATTCTATTTTAAATAGTAAAAAAACAAACTCGGAGATCTGTTTTCCATCAAAATGACTCATAACGCCAAGTCGTCTTAAATTAATGTTCTGCGAGCATTACGCTCGAGGCTATACATATAAAACAGACATATAAAAAAATCAAAATAATATAGACCAAATTCGAGCATTGTAAAATGTTTCATTCTATTGAGTATGGTTTATCATGCATTTTGACATTTTTTCGACCAATCATTTTAGCTTCTCTTTATACGTTCATTCTTATACGTTCACGTGATCACCATTTACATTATATGAATGTCAGAAGAAGAAAAATAGAGGCGCACAGAATCCTTAAAGAACACTCGAAACAACAACATTGAAAATGTTGCAGGCTGGGTCTGAATGAGCATGAAAACAATGTAAAAAAAATTAAAAGACCATGGATTACCCTTATAAAAAGGCACATGATTTACATGCACATTTTTTTAAATATTGAATTATATTTGCAATTTTTATGTTAATTTAAAATTAAACTGGAAATAATAATAATAATAATAATAATGATAATAATAATATTGATAATAATAATAATAATAATACAATGCAATAATAATAATAATATTAATAATAATAATAATAATAATAATAACAAAATCTTAATTTATAGAAGGTAACATACAAAGTTTACACAGTAAGAAGTATACTTATTTTCAGAACGGCCCTCTGATTTAACATTAAAAAAAATAAATAAACATCTATATGGTGGATTTTAATCATCCAGTAAGTGGTTAGGCAAACGAAACAAAAATACATGAATATCCGTATTCCTAGTTTAGCAAACTATTTAAATAAATGCAGTTTCAATGACACTTACGCCGAACAAAACAAAAACACTGTGTTAAGATATAGATTTTTATGAATTAGGATGAGTAATATTACTAGTAAACATTTCATTTATTGCAATCTAGTTAAAATATTTTTTGCATTATCAGGAATAAATTTGTCTGTTTTATATGTAGATTCAAATTGCAAGTCATATTTTCCAAGTTATCATTGAACGGAACTAAGTGAATGCAATGCATTGCACTAAAATTTTGAGAACATGCAAAGGTCCTAGAAATTTATCAAATCTGTTTAAACAAAGTCTTCTTCTTAAAGATTTAATAATAAAGCGCACACGTTTCACGAGGAGTGCAGAAGTTAACATTTATATTTATACGCATCGGTGTACTTCACGGAAAGAAGACGTTGCAGTATTAAAATTACAAGTAATTTTCTACGAATACGTTACATAATTTATTGTTTAATTAAATTAATAATAATAATTGTTTTAGTCACAGTGGCGTAAACAGGGTTCGCAAGCCCTATAAAAGTGGAAATGTCGGATGACAAAATTCATAAGGAGCTCGATTTACTGATACTTCGTAGCAAAGGAGACATAGAAGAAATATGGCAACAAAAATGATATTTGCGATTATTTTGGCCGTCACGGTGTTCATTTCAGCAACTCACGGTAAGATACTTTTATTAGTAATTTATTTAGGTATAATAAAATCAAAATAGTTAATAAGATGGTAAAATTACTCTCTGAAATATAAATGAATTGTTTCTGCCATATTTTAAAAATGACTAAAGTCTTCAACAAGCTATATCTTATTTTATTATGATTTTGTTTCGCGGAAGAGTTGTTGTTGCTTTATTTATTTATTTATTTGTTTATTTATTTATTTATTTTTATTTATTTATTTATTTATTTATCTATTTATTTTTTATTACGTTGTTATTTTTTCACAAATTAAATAAACCTGTATTTCATACAAACAAGAGTTGGTTTGGACGCTTTGATCGATATGTATAGTGGATACAGGGATAGAAATTATTTCCTTCATCATTTGCAACACAGCGTATACGCATTAATGTCGCATTAATTGAATGTACTTTGAAAAGTTACTTAATGTTGAGCAATATTTTTAAAATTTAGAATTTTCCTCTAAGTTTCATATTTTATTTCTCATAAATTATGCAGCTGGCACTGGTTATATCGGTTGTTTCCAAGACAATTCGACAAGGATTTTAGAAGGTGCAATGACTAAAGGCAGTATGACGGTGGAGAAGTGTGTACAAAGATGTAGTATGGAAAGAAAGTTGTTCGCAGGTGTTGAGGTAAATAGCATTAAATGCATTGGTTAAGGTATTTATTAAATGTTCAGCATTTTGTTTGATTTAGTGGTAATTTATAACGCACAGATACAAGGGAATTTCAAAATCATTGGTTTATCGTTGCTTTCCTCCCTTTTCCTAAAGTGTTTATCTATTTATAAGATAATTTGAATTATTATGATCAGAAGGTGAAAAAAAATCTGATAAGGTGGAAATGTTATAGGAACATTATACCTCAGAAATAAGTATTTGTTTATTCTTTAGAAAAATCAAACATGTGTTAAATTATGTTTTGATAAAGGGTTAAGAGCATAAATGTATTAGATGTTTTACATGATTTATAACTGAAGAAGTAGCGCTGGACATACTGTTATGTGTCATAAAGGTAGCAAAATGTAAACAAAGTAGAAATTTGACTTCCATACAAAATACTAATTCACTATAATTATACCAATTAAGAAATAAAAAAATAGCATTTTTGAGGTATAATAGACCTTTAAATACATTTTCATATTGTATCAACATTGATCCTTTTCCACTCTTTCTGGTGAGGTGATACACACAATTTATATTCAAATTTAATTAAATAGGACATCATTTGAAACTTGGTGTACATATTTCAAAATCATTTATATTTGTTATATATTTCAGATTGGTAATCAATGTTTTTGTGGTTCTCAATTAAGGCCATATGCAAAACGTCCTGAAACAGAATGTAATTCTGTATGTGGAACATCGGGCCAGAAATGTGGTGGATTTTGGAAAATATCATTGTATAACACAAACAGTAAGTAATCATACTTTCTTACATTTGAAAGAATAAAATGAAATCGTCGGAAAGATAATAAGTTTTTAAGTGAACATTTATTTATGCAAAATAAATGTATGTTAGGGAAATTGTGGAGAGAAGCTAAGGTCGTGAGAACTATGCTAATGCTATATTATATCCGTGTAACTAAAACAAATGTAATCATTTAAAACTTTCAAAATGTATCCTGCGTGTTTAAAACATATTGATACAACAAACTTCATCACACACAACAAATGTAAACATTTACTTTACATTTTCAATCACAGGATATCTTGGATGTTATGTTGACTCCAAATCCAGAATTCTAAATGAAAAATCTACCAATAACAACCAGATGACGACGGCATCGTGTATTGCTTTCTGCAAAGGTCACGGACTCAAATATGCTTTGACCCAGGTGTGTTATAGATGTATACATTATGTATAAACGAATAATTCGCTTTTATTTTTTTATCTCAGTTTAGACAGCATTGCTTTTTGATCTTTATATATAACAGGAGATCATTATTGTTCAATAATATTCAACATCTATTTATCATGTACCGCACTTTAATTCGTTTATCTTAGCTGAATGCATATCAACTGTCAAAAAATAATAGAAGCTTTTTTTGTGAAATTGCTGTTTTTAGCATAATTTTGTTTCTTTTTACAGTATTCTAAACAATGTTTCTGTGGAAACAGCTTAACAAATGTACAGAAGGCACCTGACAGCGAATGTAGCTATGCTTGCGAAGGTGAAAAAAGTGAAAAATGTGGAGGGTTTTGGAGAGGGTCTTTATACCTTGTTGTTTAAATGGTGTGTTTCTAATTGAACTGTTATGGTTAGTTTTTCTAAAACACGATTTATATTTTGCAAAATTGTTTTCTGCTTGTTCATGTGATGTTACAATTATGAGCATTTGAGTTTTACCTATAAAAAGTTATTGTTAAATGCCAATTGTATCATAGTTTGGGGACCTTTATGATAAAAATGTGTCAGAGTTAAACCGTACACACATACATGCACAGTGCGTTAACAAAAATGCACATTATTAGTTACCCGCACTCCAGAGCATGCCCATTGATTGGTTTATTTATTTATTTATTTTATTTCTTTTTTTTGGGGGGGGGGGGTACGCCCCCTCGTACAAGTCATATAGCCTTGTGTTTCGGTGGTCTTCCTGTTACTATTGATTATTGTTATCTAGAAATCATTATGATAAAATAATTTGGGCGACTGTAATTTTAACTGCAAAGAAAGAATCTAATCCAAACAAATTTCATTTTAAATGTCCAACAAGGAGTTGTCGGATACTGTGCTAACATTTTATACCTTGCTTTGTATGTTTCTTAAAAAGGAAACTCAGATCTTCAGACTTTGATTGGTCAGAAATCAGTTCAGAATGTATACTGACCAATGGAAATGCGGTGATTTAAAATTCTGAACTTAAAGATATGTATAATTATAATCTAGGGCTTTGGCCATAAAATGTATGACAGTATATACTTTTTTCCTTATTTATTAAATCATGCAATAACAAATATGTAATATTTTTGCTTAATTATTTTTTCAGAGCACACAGATCAAATGTACAAGAGGTCCAAATGGACAATCACACGACTAAATTCTAGATCAAAATGACTTCATTTACATATCTTTTATGTTAAACAAATTATGGTTTGTAATTGAATAAATCTCATGAAAAAGATTTTGAATTCTTTAAGAATTATTCCATTATTGAATTGCATATTCTAGCACAACGGTTTCATTACTCAAAAATGACAATACTGAAAATGACAATACTACACATATATCGTTTAATATATCCAACGGATATAGAATAAATGATGAAGCTATAAGTTCAAACGTAATATTCCAAACTTCGGCATATATGTAGAGTACTTGCATCTCAAAACTTGATAAATACTTGACACACAAACAATAAAACCACCATTTATTCATTAAGAATAGATACAGCTAAATGTTACAGCAAGGTTCGTAATTCATATTTTAATTTTTATGAAATGCGTATATTTTGGCACAATTGATAGTTACAACAAGTAACAGCAATCATATTGTCAAACACTGCCATTATATTAAATATTTAACAAGACCATTACTTTTCTATACCTTAGTTTGACAATATTATTCTTCTATGCTCTATTCTCTTGGTTGGCTATCTTTAAATTTGCTCTATAACATCCCTTTAACTGATACTGGACATTTCTAAAATGGAAGCTGAAAGAGTTTATTTAACATGTACAGCAAGTTTACGGATAATAAAATTATGTGAACTTAATCTTATGCTTTCTTATTGATTTTTTGTTTACACAAAATGTTCTTGGTGCATGATGTCATAGATAAACATCGGCGATTTACAGTCCATCTTTGGTCAACAAAATATAAATCTATGTCATATCTTCTTCTGTATTTTTGGTTGATTAACTTGTAAGCTTATATGCTTTGTTTCCATGTGTTGTATAACATCTGGGTTGTCTGAAATGCATGTAGTTTTTATACACCTTTAACCAAGTTTTCCTTTTTTGTTTTTGTTTAATTCATAATAATTGTAATGTAAGTCAAATAGAGAAAAACGGAACCCCTAAAGAACGCCAAAAATTAGGCAAAATTGAAATTGCAGGTTCCGGTTTTTGTAGCCTGATCAAGGAAGTGGCAAATGCATGCTACCACCTACGACTCTTAGCACTGCCGTTATGAGATTTTATATCAAATACATTTCCATATTGATTTTAAAAAGAAAGAAAAAGTAAATCGGAAAAAGGATTAAGTTACAAATAAATTAGAAATATCTCAATTTTCGACAGCCCACCGTAAAAAAAGCCATTGGTCTAATTCCGGTGCGAATAAGCCATAACATAGGTTTGGAGGAGGTTCGTTTTAAAAGCAATATAAGTCACAAAACACTAGGCCAAAAAATATAGCCGTCAGAGGCCTGCGTCGCTTCTTCTGTTTGCGATCTGTTCTTCCTGTAAATAAAGTCTTCGAATTTTGGTATAAAACACTATTTTCTATAGCTCATCGTCAGTAAACAATTGGTCGGATTCTGTTGTGAATATGCCATAACATTGTTAAGAGGTTCTTTTTACGGCAGTGTAAGTCACAAAGATCTAGCTTAAGAAATATAATCGTCAGAGGCCCACATGGCATTGTCGCTTTTAACTTTGGCGATTTCTTTTTATATATGGTCTTCGAATTTCGTAAAATATACTTTTTTCTTCAACTCTCAGTCAGAAACGCACTGGTGTGATTCAGGTGTGAATTAGCCATAGCAATAGTTTGAATGCTTGTTGATACAACAATATAAGTCCCACGGAATATAACAGTCAGAGGCCCACATTTACGTGAAAAGCGTAATTTTTTTTGGCAAATCACCAACAGAAAAATGTGTGTCTGATTTCTTTGCGAATTAGCCATAGCAATGGTTTGGAGGTTCGTTTTTCCGGCAATATAACACACAAAGCTGTAATCCAAGAAAAATTGCCGCGAGATGAATTGACGCTATGTACTCTAACAAAAAGTTTTTACTTAACATTTTTGTCTGAACAGACATGTTCCATGCATCTAATCAGAAGCATATGTTCGCTGTAAAACTGATATTTTTATTGCACGTTGGGCACAAAATGGGCGCAATTTGCGTAACACTAAGTAACACTTATATAACGCATATGAATTCAGTACCATTTGCAACAAGTTAATTCCGATTTCTGTTCATTTTAAAGGCTTACGCTGTAACTCTTGTAACAACCTGTAGCATTTGTAACAATAATGTGTGAAATTTCCATTTCATTATCTACTCTCGTAGCATTTGTAACAATGCTGCAACAATGCTGTAACAAACTACGTTGTAACATCTATGTCACCTTATTAATTCAAATTTCTGTCCATTTTAAAGGCTTACGCTGTAACACTTGTAACAACCTGTAACATTTGTTACAATTATGTGTGACATTTTCGTTTCACTCTCAACTCTCGAAATATTTGTTACAATGCTGTAACAACTATGTAACAACCTTGTAACATCTATGTAACCCTATTTATTCCGATTTATGTCCATTTTAAAGGCTTACGCTGTAACACTTGTAACAACCTGTAGCATTTGTAACAATAATGTGTGAAATTTCCATTTCATTATCTACTCTCGTAGCATTTGTAACAATGCTGCAACAATGCTGTAACAAACTACGTTGTAACATCTATGTCACCTTATTAATTCAAATTTCTGTCCATTTTAAAGGCTTACGCTGTAACACTTGTAACAACCTGTAACATTTGTTACAATTATGTGTGACATTTTCGTTTCACTCTCAACTCTCGAAATATTTGTTACAATGCTGTAACAACTATGTAACAACCTTGTAACATCTATGTAACCCTATTTATTCCGATTTATGTCCATTTTAAAGGCTTACGCTGTAACACTTGTAACAACCTGTAACGTTATTGTTACAAATGTTACAGGTTGTTACAAGTGTTACAGCATTGTAACAAATATTTCGAGAGTTGAGAGTGAAACGAAAATGTCACACATAATTGAGAATTTTACAGATAATTGTTACAAATGTAACAGGTTGTTACAAGTGTTACAACACAAACCTTGAAAATGGCCAGAATTCGGAATTATTACTAAAAATGTTACAAGGTTGGTACAGAATTGTTACAGCATTGTTACAAATGTTTCGAGAATTGAGAATGAAATCAAAATTTCACAGATAATTGTTACAAATGTTACAGGTTGTTACAAGTGTTACAGCACAAGCCTTGAAAATGGCCAGAAATCGGAAATAATAAGGTTACATAGATGTTACAATGTTGTTACGTAGTTGTTACAGCATTGTTACAAATGTTTATAGAAGTGAGAATGAAATGAAAATTTCACAGATAATTGTTACAAATGTTACAGGTTGATACAAGTGTTACAGCACAAGCCTTGAAAATGGTCAGAAATCGGAATTAATAAGGTTACAAAGATGTAAGGTTTTGTTACAAATGTTACGCCAACTGGGATTGTAATGAACATTTTTACTTACTTTTTACAATTGATTTCAAAACACATATAAGTAACCTTAAGGGTTACAGCCTTTATATGTGTTACATTGATGTTACGTACATGTTACTTAGAGTTATTCTTGTAACATATTAGAATTGTTTCATTAAATTGCGCATATTTTGTGCCCTATCTCACATGTATAATGCATAATTACACGGATTGACCCGTTAATTATGCATTGTTGTACGGGCGTTTCAAAATTCAACACCAACTTATCTCAACTGCTTATTATATGATTATCAAATAAATTGTTTGTTTTTTTAAAAGCAGAAACTTAGGTTATTGATTGTTTTATAACAAATTTGGCAGTGACCATTGTAAATTTAACTACCTTTTTTGTTAAAAAATCTTGAATTCTCATGTTTTTAAAACGGCATAGATGGATGTCTTCATCAAACAGACCTTGTACAAAGTGCTTATACATTTATATACAATTGTTTATATACAATTGTTTTGTATGTGATAACTCAATGTGTTTTTTTTCTTGATAAACACAAGTACTTTTTCTTCGTAAATGACAACCAATTAGTACTACCATGACTATATTAATCGTCATTTGTTAATATTAGGTTACGTTCATTTCCCTTTTAAAAATTGATTATATTTTACATCAAACGGTATTGAAAGTAACTACTTGAATAAGCCTTAATCCTCCAGGTTCATGCTTATTTTCATGAAAATATTTAAAATCTTATAAAAAGTAAAATATAAAAAAATAAAAATTAATTTACGCATTGCAAATGGCACTTAAAATCAACGAACATTATCAAAACAACAGGCCAGAATACGCAAAAATATACGTTACCGTGTTAGTCATGCAGTAACGACATGGTGATAAATTCTGCAAAACAGTCATTAATTGAATATTAAATGTAATTTTTTACTTAAATTGTGAATAAATTTACTCTATTTAAGGTTGATTATTTTTAGCTCATGCAGAGGCATGCAGATTTAACATATCGTCTTTCTCTGACATAATGCACCTTTAAACAATGGGTAGAAGTTTTCTATTCTATTCCTTTACAAAAATACGAACAAAAAAAAAATCTCATTTTTATGTGTCTCAATTCTTTTTTTTTTCATATATCTGGTAGTCAAAGCCTGCAACATTTTCAATTTTGCCGTGTTGTGCTTTCTTTAGGGATTCTGTATTTATGAATTTAATGATCACATCCGTGTTATTTGTGCCGTGTGGCGGTTGTAAAAAGTCTCCACGTACATTTAATCAATGATGTTATATTTTCGACCCTTGAAGATCGTTCAGCACGACATAATTGTTGTGCTTGTGGTATTTTTAGTTTCAACTTTTCGGTATTTTCTAGTTGGGTGGTTCCAATATTCCTACTTGAATAATGTTGAATCACCCTAAGAATATGTTGCCTGCTTTTTAAATTTGTCTTTTGACGTATTATCTGTGATACGCAGGCTTCATAACCTCTGATCCCCTTTCAAAATTCCATTTTATTTAGTTCCGCCCATTGTTTTCTCGTTTAGGGCACACGCATTATTTTACTTGGGGGACCATATGCCGCTTTTCATGGAATGACACAACTGTCTCACATTGAAGGTTCCATGATAACAGCCATTTGAACACATCTGCGGATGCTTTTTAATTTAAAATGTCACCTTTTTGTGTTTAA